AAAATTAATTAATATTGACTTTTGATCAAAACAAGATACCTACATAATTCAAAACTCCAAATATATATCTAATAACAAACATAATAAATTGAATATAATGTTTAAACTATATTACTTATAATGATTAGAATGCATTGTTTAATCAGTTTCTTTGCTGTTAACAATATTGCTAGTTGTAAACTCAATAATATTTCACAAGTTTCAACCAGCCCAGGAGGCTAAGGTTAGTCCTAAATCCATATACTAAGCTAATAATGCAGAATATTCCTTGTTTAAGTTGACATTTAAGTGTGAACCACTACACCATGGTAAAAGTTACACTTGGCTGAACCAGCTTAGCAGATTTAGGTTATGCACAATCAGAACAGGATCTTCCCTCACAGAGTACATGTAAAACCTCATGTCACTGTTGGCCATTTCATTATAAAATAACAGAGATTACACCCTTTAGGTATCACTTGATTTTTTAGTTGTAAAACTTTTATTGTCCACCTCTTTGTGGTAAATTGCATGTAATACTTACTAATATGGAATGATGCAGAACAACAGATAACTATTAGCACACTTATTTGAACAATCTACCATTGTTAAAACAATACACATCTGGAACCATGCATCTGATAGAATTCTGAAAAATTCCTTGAACTGTTAAACGTTCACTATACTAACTAACAGTAGGTAAGAAATATTATGTATGCACATGTACACTGTATGCAATAAGATTAACAAAAGTTCACAATAATATTTACAAAAGGAGGCAACAATAGAGTGATACAACAATGTAATAAGAGGCAACTATAATATAATTAATGATGTAATGCTATGCTGTACACTAAAGTAATAATCTGAAAGTGGCAGGAAGTAAAACTAATGGTGGTTTCAATATCATACGGTTTCTTTATTACCTTAAATAATTGGTTAAAATATTATTATGCAGACATGATAGTTTTATATAGGTAATAATATTCAGTAAAATTATAATTGATAGCAAGATTATTGAATTTCATGAAAAACTGGACAAATCTGTAATGCAAAATGGTTGAGGAGAATCCTTATTTCTAAAAAATTAAAGTGATTTTCTTAGCTCCGTTGTTCAAAATCTTGTAATGTTGAATCAATTCTAATGTATCTACTAATGTGTGAATATTAAACATTTCCACACAGAGTTTTTGGAATATTTGTATTTGGAAATGGAAAGTCTATAACCTCAAAATTGTAAGAGTGTTTTATTGAAAACTTTGAACTTAAGTGTTTCATTAACAATGTTGATATCCAAAACCAGGTAATTAGTTTTGTTATTAGTGAAAAACTTTTATTCTGGTTGCTAAATTTGTTTCATTAGAACTGAACTATGTTCTTCAAGTTAAAATCCAAAAGTGAGTTGTGGATGAAGTTTCAAACCTTTTTCATTGATCTTAAACATTTGTGTTCAATAATGTACTTCTTGAGAAAACTCTGTCATATTTTTAGGTAAACAGTGTTGTAAGAAAATAAGTATTTAATAACATAATTCCTGCAAAAGGTCACTCATATATGGTGGAAATCTATTTTGTGACTGAATAAATAACACACTACATTTGCAGACTGTTTATGGTAAGTTATAATTTATATTTCATTTTGTTCATTGAGTGAAAGTATCAAAGTTTCTGTAATAATTATACATGAATTGTTTCATTTCACTTTAGAAAAACATAATTAAAACTATAAAGAAAACCAAATCACATAATAGTATTTCAATAATACTTTCTGGTATATGTAACACTTACTGTTATCTCGCTTAATCCTTGCATAGTCTCCAGTGTTGTCAGAAAGTGACCTTTCTTCTAAAATCCAAGGCAAACAAATTAAAAATGTTTCAAATCATCAGTTATATTTGTGGAAGATAACTGTAGCTACTACAGGTCTGAATTACATAACATTTAAAACATTTTAAAATATTCTAAAATTTTCTAATATTATTATAACACTTTCAGAACCTTAGGAGTTATCTGAATAAGAAATTTATGACAGTTTATAAGTAGACTTCACTCACAACTTATAATAGCATTAATAGATATGAGCACGGAAGTAAAAAAAGAAAAAGTGAACATAAAAACTTAATTTAAGGTTAACAGTAAAAATTTGTATTAACAAATTATTTAGCAATATATACATGTCAAACACTTGATCAAGTTTAGTTATACATTGAAATAAAGTGATAAATCACACATATGTCAAATCACTGGTTTAGTTTAGATAACTGAGTAACTTTTATGTAACAAATGTGATTCCTAGAAGTTTCATATAACCTATAATCCAATCCAGAGCTAACCCTTGGTCTGTACAGTGTATAATTTGTACATCAGCATATGAGGTTAGTTAATTTCTTAACTCAAAAAGGTCATTGCCAAAGCTCATAAACCTGTCAGAATAAGAAATTGACACACTTTTGCTTCTAGATCATAAAACATGGCTCATTTCCGAGTAATATATGCTATCAATTTGTATGTTATAGGAGAAGAAGATAAGGCTTTCAGAATATATTAGTAATAAAGAAATAACAGGGTATTATTAATGTATTGGAAAAGAAAAATTATTATCTTTGAAACGCTAAGTTTTGTATTTTACAGTATCGCTTAGAATGTACTTAATAAATGTTTTTCATTGTGAATGATGACTCTGCGTTCTTTACTTCTTGAAGAATTCTCCTTGAGCTGTCATAGCCTGTAGCGTTCCAAACAGCATTTCTGGCACTTAAAGAAATACTACTTGTAATAGTGAGTGAAAAAAACCTGTACCTGTCTCATATAATAAATAATCAAATATTATGCTATAATGGCCATTTTCATGAGACTCAATAATAATGAAGAAAATAGATGTATATATATATATTCCTAGCAAAACAATCTTATACAGACATAAATTAAACCTCTGAATAATATAAATCTAATCTGAAGTTAAAGGTCACACAAGATGCACTTTCTGATATTCATAAGCTATTTCTTTACAGTTCTTTATTTCTTAATTTTTCATTTATTTCAAATTAAGATTTTTTTAAAATTTGTATACTTTATAGCTAGTACTTAAATAAAATTAAAAAGATTAAAGAAATTTTCCTTTTCCTTTCTTAATTAAGAAGCTATAACAAAATCGTAAAATCATGAAATAAAAAACTTACTTCTTTTTGGGAAACCTAAATTACGGAGTAAAGCATCAGGTAACAGATCAAAAATTTCGTTTCCAGGGACCCTCGGATTTATAACTTGTTGTATTTTCTCTTTAACTTCTTCTACTTTAACATCAAGATCAAACTAAATGAAAAATTAGTCTATTTAAAAATAATGCTTTATCAAACCATTAATAAACAAACACTGACACGAAGGAGTAACAATTAAGTGAAAAAAAGCAAAACACTTAAAATATTCATATCTTTAGGATAAACAGCTTACAAATAACTTTTGACCTTTAAACAAAATACACTATAAACAAAACCTTTAAAGCAGGAGCAACACTTCACAAAAAAGTGGGGGGGCTGACTTTGTATGGCCTCCCCCAATTCAATTGGAGGCCCTATGCAGTGGCATTGTTTGCTAATATGTGTTAATCCGGCCTGACAAGAAATGTTCTACATAAATTGCTATATGGGGTCCACTCTAAAGTTTGGGGTGGAGGGGAGCAACTGACACTGCTGCTTTAAAAGTATTACATACATATATGTGCTTATTACATGAAGAAAAGTTTACATATTCAATATTTTTAAGTCCTAACTTATAAAAATATACTTTACACATGAATGCCAATATAAGCAAAAGAACTAAGTGTTATTACATGAATCTAATACATATTTATAATCTAACTTAAGTGAACTGTATTCTGGAATAAGCACCAAAATTAGAAATAACAAAACTATTTAAATTTTATAAATGCTCACAACCTTAGTTTTCATAAAACATTTCTAAACATGAAAACAAACAAGCCTACTAAAACTAGTGTTGCTACTGAAAAGTAGTACCTGCCCATAATATTTTAACCAAACAACATCAATGCCAGTTTAGTTTCAATTGATTTACTTACTTCTTTAACCATTTACAATTCCATCACCTCTAACATACATAAGCAATTTACCTTGCATAACTTTTCTGGAGGCATAGGAACATTGTACTTCAGTTCAACAGCCAACTGGCCCATTCCATAACCTGTTGTGTTAAAGATAAGGTGTCCTCCAAGCTCTGAAATCTGATACAAAAAATTGACATTTTTCTTGAATATGTCTTCTCTTCTTGGAATTTGTGATTAAAAAGATTAAGTCAATCTATGAAAAAAACAACACTAGAAAACTGTTTATTATATGAATATGTATAAACAAAATGCTTTTATAAAAAGAAAATAAATTATGATAATAACGTTATTTAATCAAATGTGCACGGAGATGGTCCATTGGACCAACCCAATATTGTAGAAGGAATACTAACAGTAATTCTGAGTTTACTACATGTATTTTTACAAAATATGGCAAGCTTTTAGTCAAACGTATAAGTCTGTTGTACACAAAAATCAGTTGTGTTGCAAAAGAATCTGTACTCTGAAAACTGCTGACATCAGTCTGATAAGTTGAGTGAGTGCAAGGTGATGCTCATGTGAAGAATAAATATACTCTTGTCCATGTGCATATTGTATTTGCATAACCTCTAGAGCCTCTGAAATGCATATCTAATTTTTTTCAGTATCCCTGTATACTGTATCTGGTATTTACTCTTCTCTACCATGAACTGTCACTAAATCATCAATGTGGGATGACAATAAATAAATGATAATTCTGACATCAAATACATGTCCATGTTGAATGGACTCTGCAGAAAGTTATGGTATGCACACTTTGACTCCCATAGAATCAACAATCACATTTTACCAACAAATGAATTACTTGGGAAATATGAAAAATGTTTTTTTCTATGACATTAAAAACATGGCCAACATTAAAGCATATTTGAATGAAATATGATAACTTTTGAAGTTCTTCTTTTTTTCTATTACTAATCACTTGCTTGCTAAATTTCCTTAAAACCACTTTAAAAAAGTCTAGCAAGTTAAAATACAAAGATAATTAGCAAACAGGAGGTTGATATAAATAAAAAATCTATGGAAATTAACTGATGCTTGAGAAATAATTTAACAGTTTGATTTCTTGTTAATTTTTGTTGTTCTAGTTGTGGTATTTGTAATAGATTATTATTGAACATAAACATTCATCTACTCAAAAACTTACATAAGTTGGTTTCTATATCATATTAAGCAAGTTAAATAAAAAGTAAAAAATATAACAAATGAAAGCAAAAAACACAAAGTATTTTGCACTGTTAAATGTGTGAAATTGCATTCATGTACGCACTTTAGCTCTCAGAGAAAGGAGCCTAAAACCTCTAAAAGTTAGGATCCTCCTTTTTTTTTCAGTTTATGTTTTTTATTGTTTTTTAATATTTCTTTACAGATTTTAAATGCACAGAAACTTTTTGGTTAACTTTTTGTTTTCATTTTCTTTGTTATGGATAAATCAGAACTAGGTTTTAAAGATCACATACTTCCCTCCACCTGTAACTTTAATTTTATATTTTAATTCAAGTTTCAGTGTGAATTTTTGTTTTTTATTCATGTACTGAGAGTTTTTAACCTTTGGCTGAATAAACTAATTACACTCACAGTTGTGTTGTAATAATCTCAGAGAAGAGAATATCAAGGTTACACAGACAGGGAACAAATTTTCTAGTTAAAAGTTAAATAAAATTAATTTTAAGTTTTAATGTTAAGGATATCAGTGTAGAAAATAGAGCTAACTTATAATGAGAAACATTATAAAAAGAAACAATAATTGTTTTATTTAATTATTGAAAGTTATAGCCTAACAAAATACAATTCCATTGCTAGACTGTATTATTTTAAAAATAACAGCTCAATAAGTAAAATAAGCAGCTTTTAAAGTTCCAGGTAAGAAGCTGGAGTTTAGAGACTTATAGATAGGAAATAAAAGAAAAATGACACAAGCACAAAAACTAATTTCCATTTATATAAAAACTCATCAAAAACTATTGGAACTAACTCAAAAACTACACCAGTTACGTCTGCTTAAACAACTCATAAAATTCTTTTGAAATTAAAATTTATGTCTGCCCACTAACCTACAACCTGAACAGATATAGAAGTATTCTGCCTAATATTTGCAGTTGCTAGAATATCACTGTTTTTCAATCTACATCATTGCCTTCTGATTGCATGGCCCAACAAAATGCACATCTTTGGCATTTCAAAACTGTAACAAACAACCTTTTCTCATATCCTATACAATGGTTGGGAGGAAAAAGTTAATGAAAAGTACTTGATAGACATGATGAAAACAAGGTAATTCAACATATATTTTTTCTCATCAATAGCTTTAACCAAAGAAATACACTCATACACAACTAATAATGTGATCAGTATGGCTAAGAGTCATGCCAAGAACCAGTAAATGACATAACACACACTACTTTTTCCTTTACAATATCATTACATTACTGCTGATCCTGATAGGTATCTTTGAGGGTAAATTACAAGCAAAGAATTGTTTTTCTTGCAATATTCGCACATCCTCACAAAAATAGTCTCATTCTAAAGTTATTTTTCTATGATGACCTGTCAAGTCCAGCTAGTAACCTGCAAATTTATGTTTTATATTCGTTCTACTTCTTGTGCTTCATTTTAAAATTAGACACACAATTCCTTTTGGACTATCAGCACCACTGTAAGATAGTTTCTCACAAACTTTTTGTCACAACCAGTATCGGTCATAAAGAGTCTATGGGGGAGTTACAAAGATATGAACCATCTTCCCACTTTTGCTGTTTATTATGCAAACAAATACTCATATAAATAAAGTTACATCCATTGTTCTCATAGATATTCAATGTTTTGGTATCTGAAGCTATAAGTATAATAAATGTTGATAGGAAGGCATAAAAACTTGTGAATAAGTTGTGACAAGCAAATTCAGTAATTAAATTGAGATTTTGAAAGAGGTGTAACTCCCTTTTGTGATCCATTTTGTAGTAGCAGTGTGATACAACAGAGAGCATACACTTCCTGAGAGGAATATATTCAAATGTTAAATAGTGTCATCTTGTACATTATAATCAGAAACCAAAGGAATGCTAATAGGTCAAATCTAAACGGATAGAAATAATTCTGTTCTGGACCACTCTACCTCAATTTAATTACTGATCACAGTGTAGTAAACCTTGTCCTAAGGGATATTTTTAGTTATTGCCCAAAACCGGATAGGTATTATATCATTCATAGCTACATGGGTCTCTATTCTGCTAAAGTAAAAACAGTACACATTCTTCTGAATAAGGTGTTTTCATGGAGAAATAGGCATAATGTTAGCCAACCACAAATTACAAACTTTTAACAATACAATATAGAAGCAAATAGAAAACGACTGAGTTATATTTTATTAACATAACTCATGCAACGAAAAATCATTCACATATACTTTGGCCAACAATAACTATTCTGCTTTCATACTTTCTATCATAAAAACAAGTTTACAAATGAAAGAAAAATAATAATAAAAAAAACACAATTTCAGCAAAAAGCACAGACATTCTTCCAAAGAATACTTGTGACTCTAATGTAACATGTACTTACACATAATTTGATTAATACTAAAATTTCCTTTAATACAAAAAACACAGCTATTTACTTAGAAATTAACACTAAACAATGATGTGTCTATCTATAATTATCATCGAATTCTTAATTCTATATTTATATTACCTTTTCTATCCTGTTCATATATGTATATATATATGGTATATTCTACCAATTCTCTTTATTTTTAAGGCTTATAAAACGGATATTCAATACCAAAATTAACTAACTATAACTAAACACAAAAATCTATGGCACTTATTTTAAATTTTTTTAAATGCACTACAAAAGAAAGACATATTGATTGTTGAAGATATTATATAGTTTTTCTAAATTTTATTGTTAACGGGTTGTATGTATTACACCATATACAACAATCGTTAACAAGATTAATTTTTCTAGGCTCAGTATATCACAACATATGTTGGTTTTTTAAATAAATAATGAACAAGTATAAAATAGGATAATTAAACAGCTTTAAAACAAAATATTTAAAGAGACATATGTTATTCCTACAATTAATTTCCTACTTTTAACTATTTTATTTTCAATCTACCATAATGCAATAGTTCTTTCTGCTAGATTGGGCAGCCATTGTTCAAGCGATTCTTTTTGTTTACCTTTTAAAAAAAATTTTTTTTTAGTTCATCTATGCATTAATCTTCCCTCATTTATTCCACCCTGTAACAAATTACTAGATTTGTGAATTTTTCATTGGTGTGGAGACCAGGTAGCTCTGTGCTTGGACCGTCCTGAATCTTGTAATACCATACTTAGATGAAACTATTAATGTTCAAAGTGAAATCCTTTTTGATATATATATATATACTGGAATATTTTTATATTAAATAACTCCTACCTGAAACTGTTGGAGAATATTAGCAGTGTTCTCTTTGAAATGAAGTTCTTTGAAGAAAGAAGGGTCATTGTTCAATGTAACATTACAATGCAAGTCTGTTTCAGGATTCTTTGACAGAATGCTATATTCTGACATAGCATACAAAGCAACAACTGTGTCCTAAAAAACAAAGAGCAAGGATATAAGTTTCTTCAAATCAGATCTGTTTATTTCTGTAGTACCTGTCTTATTTTTCTCACACAATAAATTCTCTAACTATTTATGGGGTTTTGAGTCCTTTAAAATTCACCAGACAGTAATCTAGATTAATTTAAGGATGTGAATAATGTTATGGCACTGCATCTAATTCATTATACAGCATAGCAAATGCTTAATGATTATATATGTGTGTGTTACAGATTTCTTTCTTTTTTCAACTAAGGTAAAATTGAAAAGAAAAATTATTTCACAAGATTTCTTTTCAAAGTGCACCTTTTGTATCTTAAAATAATTTGGCATTTTCAATAATCATTCAAAAACTTGAACAATTAATATGCTTCCTATTTGAAGAAGGAAGGAAGCACTAAGAAATAGTTATTTCTTGTGTTCATTCAAATACAAAAACTAAGTCTTTAACCCAGTGCTCTTATCCTAGAAAAAACAATAACCCCAGTGTTAATTTGCAAAAATTACTGAGCTTAGATATAAATATATATACATATATATTCAAGTAAAATAATATCTAACATTGAGAAGACACTTTGGCTTTTTTGTTACCAGAACACCTAGCAGCCTATTTAAGAAATAACAATAAAAAACATTTCAATAAATGAAAAGCATTATGAACAACTCATAATATTAAGTGTATTTCATAGCTATAACTGATTTGATTCTTAAACCTAAAGGAGTATCTTTGGTTTATACTTGTGTAGACTTGAATGCACCAGATAATGTTCTTTTGGAATTCAGCCAGTTTACAATACTGTTAGCATATTCAATATCATTGTTTAATATCTGAATCAGTAATCCATATCCAGCAGTCTCAATGGCTCGGGGACTGTTGGGATCTCCCCAGTAATGGTAGTTTTTGTCTATAACAATGAAACAAAAAACAATATATATACACTTACACTAAACACATTAAACTTGAATGCCTTAGAAAAGTGAAAATACACACATAATTACATTCAACATGTACAAAACAAATACAGATAATACACAAGATATGATACCTTATGAGTTTAATATATCTTATAAATAACTGTACATAGAAAATACAAGTATACTTGGAAAATGTTTTCATATATAAATTAGAATTATTTGCCAGAATGCTATATTTTAACATAGCATACAAAGCAACAAGTGTGTCCTAAAAATAAAAGAGCAAGGATATAGGTTTCTTCAACTCAAATGCAATCCAGTATGTTTATTTCTGTAGTACATTTTTTTATTTTTTCTTGCACAAAGTGAATATTATGATTATCAGGTAACTCTAATAAAAAAAAATCTTCATTCATAAGCTTATAAATCAACTATTTTGATATCATCATAAGCCTTAATTCTAATAAGTTGCAATAAGTTGTTGCTTAATAAAATACCTACAGTAGTCACTTAACTCATTTCATTTTTCTTTTCTTTTTATTAATATTTTAAGATCAAAGAGATAAACATGTTTTCTGAAGTTGTTAAGGTCAATATGTGCCTTATTTTTAATACTTTATTTTCTGGCTATACAACAGTGATCTCACGATGAAAACTTATACATTCTTTGCACTTGACATGATTTTTATATAAACCTTATGAACAAGATGTTAGGAAGTGTTTTACCAGCTTCTACAGAAAGTACAAGCATACAGTATAGAAAACAAGTATTGAGCACTGATACATAAAATGGAATAAAAGTAAATTTTTTGATACGTGATTCTGTGCATGCACTAGATACAAATTCTAGTGACTCAAAGGTTGCACAATATTTCTAAATCAGAATGTGAGGAACAACTAATTTCATAAAAAGCTCATTACTGTCTTCAAAACATTTGCATAATTGCCATGCAGAAGTTCAGATATTCTTTTATTCTACAAACTGTGGGAAATAGCATACATATTCCACAAGACTTCCTCTATTGAGTACAAAACACTTTCTTTTACTTGTTATTACTCTTCACTAGCAGAAGTAGAACAAAATGAAGTTAGCATTTTCCATCAAGCATCTTGATTTTAAGCATAAACGTTGTTTATATTTTCCTAAGTTGTGAGCTTAACAGTTTAGGCAAATTAAAATGACAAAGAGAAACACAAGATTGATTCAGTAATATTTAGATCCCACAAATTACATTTGACATCTTTGTATTTGCCATATGAAAATGGAGCAACTTAGTTCTTTTACATAAAGCTTCAAATAATAAATACATTTCTTAGATTTTAAAAATAAGTCATTCTTATAAGTCTTCAAGCAAAAACCTTCTGTGCTGAAATTTCATCAGTAAAATTATTTTTTATTTGAATTTAATTATCTATTTGACATTTTGAATTAAAAACAAACAGTACTTTTTAACAGTAAGTCATTATGACTCAAATTGAGATCAACATTAGTTTATGTACTAAATGAGTATATCCTTAAATTTCAAAAATTGAAAACATACCCCCCTGAAAGGTTGCCATAGAAAGAAGTTTCCGATTGGCTTCCACCTTGGCATCATTATCAGCTAAAGATAGGGCATATGCCACTAAAGACAAAATATAGGGGTCCTGGATATGCGGAACCTTAATTTCCAGGTATGCTGCTGCACGGATTTTAGCAAGTTTTATGTTCTAATATAAAAAAAAAGAGAAACCCTAATATCATTATTTTAACTAACTTAAGTCATTTAATAATAAAACTGAATTATTGTACTTGAATATCAAACATTCTGTGTTTAAAGTTAACTAACTGACTGTTTATTATAGAGCTAGTGTTAAAATGATTAGTTTGCCATTTGAAAAGCAAGGAGAACGGTAACATTTTGAAAAACATTTTAAAAACTAAAGTGATTAGTTGCATTCAGAAAAATCATCTAGAAAATAAAATTATTTGTTATGTTGTAGACATGTAAGGAAAGTAAACTAACTTATTTACAATGTAGTACCAAAGTGAGACCATATCACTTGTTTTTATATATTTGTCTCTGTGTAAGGTAAGTATGAAATTAGATCTATATGGACTGAATGAAGCAATATATATCTTTTAAAAACTTATCCTATTTTTACATACCGCAACAGTGGTACAGGAACACTCATGCAAAGCCATCAGTACAAAAGCTGTCATTGGTAATGCTCCCTTCACACCACCCTAAAGATTTGAATAGATCATTATTCAATGCAGATCAATCAATAGGTTGTGTACAAAATACACAAGTAATAATGAAGCATTAAATGTTGAAAACATAAGATATGATTTTTTTACACCTCTTACAGTTCAATTCTATTGGAATGCAACTTCAAATAATACTACTAATAAACATCAAACACTTATTACACTACGTCATCAGAACCAGATATTGATAATGACATGATTAATACAGACAATAATGAAATTTTTCTAACATCACAAAATGTATATTATATCAACCTCAGTAAAATATGAATGTACATTTTAGACGTGTTTTAATGATATTTTTTAAAAATTCATTTATTAAGACACCAAACATAGGATGTACAGAAATAGAAGAAATTCCAACGTTTAACTACAAAGCAAGTAAGCTTTCTATGAAATTATATGTAATAAAGTATAACAAATGACTACTGATGTCCTTATAACAACCACAAGAAAGCAAAGTAAGCATTTAATTGCTGGTTAGAAACACTTATAAAAAAGATGTTAACCCATTTCTTTAATCATATTCTATTATACTGAAGAGGCCTCTCAGTTAATACTACAACACTATAGTTTCTCATCCAAGATATGACGGTTTATAAATCTTTATAAAATTACAAACATCTGTTATTTTTAAACTATAACTAATTAGTCAATAACTTGTAAATAAAGATTAACCTTTTAAAAGCTGCTAGGGCAGATCTGAGAGAAGGTATGTCATACACTGAAATATTAATCTTAACTTATCCTAACAGTAAGACTAAGAAACATTCAGTACTGTAATATTTTTTACAATTAAATGTATTTCACCACACTAGTCATGATACTGGGATCAAGGATTTGTTTCAAACTAAATTATACTTGTACTGAATTATGAAACAATTAGGCTTAGTTTATGATATCTCATAGATTATATGTACAAGCCAAATATGATAAATTTATTAACAAAATGTGAACTACAAAGTTATTCTTAAGCTTGTATGTTGAAGGTGCTCTCATGATGTATGAAAAGAATAATGCAGACAAATTAGTCATTTCCATCACAGTAGTTGAGTATATGACCAGGATTTCAAGTAAGAGAAACTGTAAAATGAAATGCCAGAATGTTTTGATATAATGATAAAAAAAAGTATTATATTATTGCAAAACAAACTGGTGGACAATCAGGTAGCTTAACATAGCCTATAAACATATCTTAAAAATTAATGAAGATGAATATTTTTTAAATTAAACCTAATTTTTTTAACAAACATAAAAAATGCAACTGACAGGTTTCACTCATCTAGATCTTTAATATCTGTATTACCCAACCTGAACTACCAAATCTTAACTAAAAAGAACCAAATCTAAAAAAGCAGAAATTTTTTTAAGTTTCTTTTTCTGGGAAAGAAATTCATTTACAATTATATACATTAAATCTCACGTTCTCCAATTTAGAATGAATAACCTATTATGATGTTAGCAATAAAAATTATGGTTATGACTTATAAATATCCACAGGTATATATGTTCTATACACAAAATTAACATAAGATATCAGCATAAAAACTATCATAAGTATCCAAAATAAAATGAATGAAAAAGGCCTTTTTCAATGATCTTGTGGATCACGATTTTATTGGAATAGTTTGACTGTTCACAGTATAAGGCCTTTTTCATTGATCTTGTGGATCATGATTTTATTTGAATAGTTTGACTGTTCACAGTATAAGGCCTTTTTCAATTATCGAACAGTCAAACTATTCAAATAAAATCATGATCCACAAACAGTCTTACTTTTATAAAAAAAAAAGAAAGAAAGAAGTACAAAAAAATGAAATTGCTATATAATTACAAATCCACAACTTTTAGTTTTCAATCTAGTTACTAAGAGGGAAACAGTATTTTATGACATCAATATATCTAAGCAATACAAGTTGAGAAGCATTGAAATATGAGGCAAGAATTTTTAGTACTGTGAATACAAGAGGTGAAATTGGACTATTTCACAAGTGTTTTCATGTACACAGCTTTTTTTTTCTTGTTAGTTGTTTTGAAATGCATGAAATGAATTTCATTTCATTTGTGGGTCCATTTGAGGTCATAAATGTATCTCTAAATGACCAATTCCTTATTGCGCTTGTCTTGGTATATATTTTTTATTTTTAACATTAATCAATTATTTAGTTTTTCTTTGTAGGGATAATGATAATATATTCTTTTTTTTTATCTTTGGCATGAACAAGGCCACTAGGTAGATTTGTCTTGTAGCACTTACAACAATAAAAACATTAAAAATAAGCAGAAAACAAATATAAAGAACCAAATATATTTACGTTAACTGTTGAATATGATATTTATGCTTGGTTTAAAAAGAATTACCACAATTTACAAGATCAACCCAAACTATACTTGCAATCATCTCCTGATGAATGACAGGTTTTTCATCAACAAATGAGCCATCAGGTTTCTGTCTCTGAACAAGCCATTTTATACCACTACATATCACCTTCTCATCAATTTCAATTAGCTTTTGTGCCTGACAGAACACTCTCATCACAAAGGCTGTTAACCTAGAAAAATTGAAATCCAACAAATGTTGATGTAACTATTGATTTCATGAAAGTATTTTTCTCAAAGTTCACCTACAGCCTTCACAGCTTTAAAATTATCCTCTGATACAATCATAAGAAGTTTAAAAAGTTTTGTAGCAAAAAAAGTTGGAATAGGTTTAATTAAAGAAAATTTCTACAATTAAAGAGTCCAATAAACTATTTATCATAATAGTATTGTAACAATAAAGGGTTAAGTAACGTATCTGTTTTCACTGTTATTTAATTAAATCTTTAAGGATTTTACTCACATAAAATCTACATGGCAATATATATAATTCAACCAATCATATTTCTTTATCAAATTGATATATGTAATAGAAGTCTTGCCAACAAAAATATCTCTTAACACTATCAGGTAGATACTAAAGGCATTCCTCTTTCTAATGTCAGATGGTTTGACTTCCTGTGCTCATTTGGCTCAGAGATTTATAAAAGGTGATTCAATACTTTTTTTTTTTATAGAATGTTCTCTTTGAAGATTTGAATGTGAATCTATATTAAACATACATTCTTTCAATTTCATTCTTCATAGTACATTTATAGTTAATTCTATAAGCGTCTATTAAATTTAATGGCCTGGCAAGGCCCGGTGGTTATGGAGCTCGACTCGCAATCTACGGGTCGCAGGTTCAAATCCCTGTCCCACCAAACATGCTCTTTCAGCCATGGGGGCATTATAATGTGATGGTCAATCCCACTATTCATTGGCAGTGGGTGGTGATGACTAGCTGCCTTCCCTCTAGACTTACACTGCTAAATTAGGGACAGCTAGCGCAGATAGCCCTCGTGTAGCTTTGCGCGAAATTCAGAAACAAACAATTATGTTTAAGTTACATTTGAAAATGTGTATTTGTTTGTTTGTTTGTAATTAAGCACAAAGCTACACAATGGGCTATCTGTGCTCTGTCCACCACAGGTATTGAAACCCAGATTCTAGCATTGTAATTCCACAGACATACCGCTGTGCCACTGGGGAGTGGCAGTTTTAAATAGAGGTATTTAAAATCAACTGAAACTTCATGTCTAGTATTTCATTAAGTTTCTAAGCATATCAATAAAAAAACAATATATAACAAGAAATGCATATGTATTCTTTATATTCATAATTTCATTTTATTTTTTCTATAGCTTTTATTGTTACTATTCTAACAATTAATCAATAGCTAGCTACTGGCCAATGTGATGAAGAAGTGTAATGGTTTTATCTAAACTAACACTTTTTTGAACTTTATTGATCTCTTTATTACTCACTTAAAATTATGTAATAGACTGGCATATAATTTATTTTTTCTTTTTCAAAAATTCAAAGGCAAATACCATGTGCTTGATGGTCTATTTCGCCATGCTGCATACGATCCATCATCCTTTCTGAAGGTAAGCTCTCTACTATAACCTAAAGTAAAATAAATAATAGTAAAAGTAATTAAAAGAGAAAAATTGATAGAAAATCAGCTTTTTATCAAATTTCAAAAATACATATATTCTTTGATTTACTTTTGGTACTTGACTTTTTTGTTAATAACTTGTATAACATTTAGCATGGGTAAATAACTTGTGACAGGTCTTCTTTACCTTTAGAGGTAACAAAAAGTGTGTGAAGATTGACAATAATCTTAAGTTTATATGAGCTTAATCTTACCAGGGTACAGAAACTAATCCCCTTTACTCCTAATATCCCACACAATTTTTGAAAACCAAATATTTTTTCTGTATCTGACACTGGCAACTAAATCTGTGCACATTAGTTTATTAATTAAGCCAACAAATTATGGAAAACATCTTATTTAAACATCATGCCATAATGATCTGTGAAAAAATGGAATGGATCATACTACACTGTCAACGAAAAATATATTACTATACCTAACATCCAAATGTTTCAAAAATGAAAATTGCATGCACTCAATAATCAAATGGAATCATTGTGTAGAGAAATATTAACAAAACACTACAACTGTCTATCAAGAAATTTATCATGTTATCTAAAACCCCACACACTAAAGTTCAACATTAATCTCAGACTTCTACAGCTGAACTGCGCTTTCAACATGGGATGTTAGTCCTATGGTTGACTAATTTATGAGATTCTGTTAGTGGAAACAGAATGAATAATTAAAATAATTCATCAACTTTAATGTTGAATAGTCATGTATACTATAAAAGTGTATTCACCTCAATCTCCATTTTTACCTAAGTTAATTTTTTTTTCATATTTCAATAAAGAGTAGGTTTACACACAAAATGCAAGTACTTTAGCATTTATTTGTAGTCTACAGTTTTGTATGTCCTCATTGTGGGCTTGACTCTGCAGAATCAACAGTCCATTATCCCTTCCCTTTGTGGTATACAAGTATACCATACATTTTCTACCTTCTTATTTTAAAATAGTGCTTTCTGGAATCAACCAATTATTCCGGCATGTGTAGTTTTCACATAACACAAGATAAAGAGAGTTGTTAAGTTGCTCTCATCCTAGATGCCTTTATTCTTAGTCATTCTCTTGAAGTAGCATCTGATCTACTCGTAGTGGGGTATATGGTTATAAAGATGCACCTTGTGCATGGAAGTCAATAACAGTGTCCTCCAATGGTAGTTCAGGTGATGTCTTAAGGCTACAGCCTCTCTTTGTTCAAATTAAAATAGTCAGTCTTCTGGGTAAGTCTGATGTTACTTTTGAATTAGGAAAAGTAAGGTTTAAACAGCCTGTTACACAATCTTACCAAGGAAGGTTAGCTTGTACAGTCCAGTAAAAGTGACTGCCTAGCATCCACTGCAAGTATACATAAGTGTTTGTAATATTAATAAAGATTGTTCAAGGTGATTGATAATGTGCCCAGTCTCTTTTATTCTCATGGACTCAGAACTATTCTTTAATAAATATCTTGTCAAATCACAAACACAACATTCACAGGTGCACCGAGAAAGATTTGGATAGAAGTGTTTCAGGCATGTAACTGCTTAGAATGGCTGGTCTCCATACCAGGCTCCACAATGCCTAATTTTCAGTCAAGACAATTTGGCCTCAGACTCCATTAAGTACTTGAGTGAGGCGTAACTATGGGACAGTCACTGCCGAGTTTCACCCAAGGTATGACACAGTGGAAAATTGAGCAATCTATCAGGCTGAGTTCAATACTTGGAAGAGAGGTATGGAAATCTTTGCCACTTATGCTGACAACCTGAACTGTTTACATGGTAAAGTTTACCATGCAAAGGCTTCAGCAAATCATATGTATATTCTCATCAAAAAGTTTTGGGCAGCCACCCAGTGAACTGACGAGGCACCACCTATATGTGAGACCTTCTCATCCTAATGAAGCAGTTTCTGTAGTGGTGAAGTATGAAGTAATAACTTCAGAACAGTTGCAAGACAGGAAGAAGCATAGTTTGGCAACTGTAATGGGTATACCTCAAACAGGCTGTCCTATCCAGGCAACCTCATTGTGCCAAACTTGAGCCCTACCAAGGGTTAGCCAACTATTCACACATACGAGCACTGTGATGCAACCACACTGGCAACCAGTGAATGGGCAAGGCTATCTTTATCCACACATGGTTATATTCCACAACTGGTGCTAATGATGCCTCTGCCTAGAAAAGCATTTGTTTTGCTTTTGGAGTATTAGGTCCCTGTCAAGTGAACTGCCAATACTTTGTTATTCAACAAGGTAAACATGGCTATTGTTTTTTATCAACAGCTCAGCAAGTACAGGAGAGTCAGCATACTTTGCTCTTATAGATCTGGGAAACTAACAGAGTTGTTCCAACTTGGGAGAGTGAAGTGGATGGCTTGCACCAAACGATTTGGTGGGCATTTCAGCCTCACAGAACTGGTCTTGGTACATGATTGTTGGAATACAATGGCAAGAAACAGTATTCTTGATTGATACAGGAGTGGCCAGAACACTGGTAGGTCTCACAATATATCAGGCATTCTGATCAAAACCGCCAGTCAACAAAACCTTTGTTCTGGTCAATGGAGATATACTAAATGTGAATGGAGAGATGAGTCTCTAATTATGTCTGGTAGACACTGCTCACAGAACAAAGGTATTCATAATGACACAGTTTCTAGTATCGACATTCTTAAGATGAATGTATTTCAAAGCTTATAAATCAGTATTTCTTACAAAACTTGTGAACTGATATTCCATAGTAGATTTACTTGATCCCAGCCAGACCTGGCCCAGGAACAGAGGATTGCATAAAATTATGGGGGTAGAGGAAGTTACAGTACTGTCAAATACATTTGTGGTATTTTGTGGTTTACTACAAACAAAGACTAGTTTGTTGGTACCATGCAATACGGTTACATAGCCCACACATGAAATAAGCTGTTTCCTGTCCAAATGGCAAGTAGCAGCATTAGCTCAGGCACTTATCCATCTGAGGAGAGATTAAGTTCTCCAATTATAGGTGATTAGTTATTTAGCTTCCTACTGAAATGGTGAATGAAGTGGGAGTAACTGAGGTTAGCAGTAATGCTAGGTTTGTATCTGTCGCACCACATCTGACAGCAAGTATATAGTTATTGAGATGTCTGAGACTGCTAGATGGGGATTGTGAAAACACTTTAGACTCAACATGCAGCAACACCTCAGTGACTTGTTGGTTGAATATGCAGAGGTATTTGTTGGACCAGGTTGCCAAATGTGATGAACAACAGTCACACATCAAATAGATACAAGTGACGAACATCTGATTAATCCTTTCCAGGTGATGTCACCCCTGTTTGCTTTGTTCTCACACTAAAAATGCTTAACATAATTGCATGACATATTGTACAAACTTTCTACATAATATTCATCTCGTTCTTGGAAAAAGTTGTACAATTTGGCTTAGTGTTTGTACAAACATTTAGGTTGTGAAGTGTTCTTTTTTAAAAAAACATTAGAAAAATACTTCCTTTCATCATTGTGTCTGTTTTTTTATTGTGTGCCTAAGATCATGTAAATATATCCAAGTTATTTTTTCAATAAAACTATAATTTTTGTATGTTGTTCTCATAACAGTATACTAATTTTCTCATCTGTTCGTAAAAGGTCTTACACTCAGTGAAAGAAACTATTAAAAATATGAAAGAAAGAAAACTTACCTTTACCTACTGAAACAGTTGCATCACCAAAAAATAGCATAAAATACTGATGAACAATAAGTATCAACAGAAAAGCACAACTTACACTTATATCCTATGACTACAGTGATATAAGCAATATTTTTGTAACTATATTTTTGATCAGCTCAATTTCTCTAATAATTAAGGAGTTCTTGCACATACTGCTTGAGTAACAAATACTTGATTAATACACACACAAGTAAAAAAAAGCTTGTGTCATCTGAATACTTTACAGATACAGAAATCCTAGTTTACATCACTCATTAACCTTAAATATCCTTACCTGATTTCTTCTCATAGAAGAACATGTAGTTTTCAAACAGATACAATATAACACAAAGATATTATAAACAAAAATGAACATAAAAAGAAATTATAAAACAATTCTAAGGTTTATTGGTTTTTTCATAAATTTTGTAAACTTCCACTTAGAATCCTTTGTTCTCCACTATAAGAACCTCTGTTAGTAATTTTCCCAGAAACCAGACACTACTGCTTACCCCACTTTATTTATTTTACACTAACATAAATAGATGAAAATCCTCTGTCCACTCATGTTTTAGCTGTTGGTTCAACCTGGTTTCAAGGCTAAGATTTAATAGTTATCATCTAACCCACTAGCTGTGAGATCATAAAACCTCTATATAAAAGATTGTAGAAAGATTCACTAACAGAAAACTCAGGTGAGAAACAAAACATAAATAGTTCTATTTCTAAGGTATGGTAGGTTATGAATAAATATAAACCTATACTTTGGGATGGGCAAAAAAATAATAAAAAAAGCTAAAAGAGAGTTGTTAAAAGTGGAGCTGTACAGAGATAAAAGTTCAAACATTTTTAATTTTTTCGTTGCAAGTTAAACAAAATGATTTTTGCAAAGTTATAAAGGATCAATTCTTAAATGTTTTGATTAAAAATTTTTTGAAATAGCGTTATAATTACTATTTACTAAAATTGTGAAATTTCACATACAAGTGTGTACTTTACACCAGAAAGCTGCACCAGTGGTAACAGGATTAAATAACCATAGTGCAGACTTCCTTAGAGCACTAGAGATGTAGCCATTATTGAGATACAGCAGATATTAAAGGATGGGATCATATGTCAAAGAATGCTTGTTCATGTTCAGTAGTAATTATCAGAAAGAAAGGCATGACTGGTATGACCAAATTCTGTATTGATTTTAGAGTGGTAAACACAGTAGCTCATTTTGATGCCTTTCCATCGCCATGGACATTTGAATATCTGGACACATTGGGGGCTGATGGTTCAACATGTCAGACCTAGCATCTGGATACAGACAAGTCAAGCTGAATGATGAGAGCAGACTTAAGACTACTTTCAGCACAAGGGATGGTTTCTATTAATTCTACATAATGCTATTTGGTCTGTGTAAATCACCTACCACATTTGAGAGGCTATTGGAGCTTACATTGAAGGAATTCAATGGGAGAAATGCCTGGTCTATGCCGATGAGATTTTGGTGTCTGCCACTCATAACCTGATAATGCCAGTTTAGGCAAGCTTGAAGTTAAAACCAGGAAAAATCTGCATTCCTGCTCACAGAAATGAATTTTTTTAATCATATTGTAGGTAAAGATGGAATCTCCACAAATCCTGTAAAAAACAGCAATGGTGCAAGATTGGCTTCAGCCTGTAGGAAAGAGAGAAGTCTAAAGTTTCCTCAGTTTCAAATCATATCATCCATGATTTGTGGCCTACTTTTCCAAAATAAGCACACCATTATCAGTTATCACTAAATTGAGATGCACTTCAGATGTTGGGAGGAATGTGAGGAAGCATTCCACTCCTTGAAGAATGTTTAGTGGAAGCCCCATTGCTGGCATCCATTACAAGACTGTGAATTCTTGTTAGATACCGATATCAGTGATAGTGGAATCGGAATAGTCTTACTGCAGGTGCAGGATAGAGTAGACCATGTACTTGCATATGCTAGTCGCATGCTAATGGCTCCCAAATACAGATACTGCATGAAAAAGGAAAAACTGCTTGTGGTTATACTCTTCATAAAACACTATTTACACAATGGTATAAAGTTGACCATTCAGGTGGACCAAGCAGTGCTGAACAGTTGATGAACTTTCAAAATTCAGAAGGGATGATAATACATTGGATAACAATGTTGCACAAGTTGGAATTAGTCACAAAGTATCATCCATGACCCACAACATGGAAAAGCCAATGAACTGTCTCACTGCATAGTGAAAACCTATCCATTCATTGGATGTTCAGACCCTGAGTACAGTATGGGTGTTGAAATTTTTTCTACCATAGTGAAAACAGATAACAGTAGAAGATTTTACTAAGGGATAGATTCAACAATTAACACTTCAGGAGCTCTTGAAAGAGCAACTGAAGGATCCAGATCTAGCATGGGTGTGCAGCAAGGTGGAGTCCAGCCAGCTCAGACTAACAAACATAGCATAGATGCAAGTAACCTATGGTACTTATATGAACAGTTTTGAGTTCAGGAATGTGTAATGTACTGTTGTTATTGTTATCAACCGGCAAGCCATAGTTCTCATCCTGTACTGCTAGTGATCCCCAGACTTTGATCATATTTAAGTGGGAAGTCTTGCTACCTGTACACATAAAGTATGGTCTTCACCCAATAGTGGACATTAAAGTCTGCATTTGTCAAAAATGCACAAGTTTGCATGCCAGTAGTTACAAAAGGCCACTATATGACAGAAAAGATGCTATGATAAGGTTGTGAAGAAATGGATGTACCAATGTGGAGACCATGTGTGGCTTTCATACATGTCAGCAGCACAGAAACAACTCAGCACTGGTCTCACAGGACCTTACCTCGTGCTCAGATGAATCAGTCTATAGAAGTGTTAGTTACAGCAATCAAGAGGCACATGACAGCATATAGTGAATGTTTAACAGCTGCTTATATATGTTACAAATGCAATACTGGTGAATTGGCTTGACTAGGAGTCAATGGATGAGACTGATTAACAACAGAAAAATGAAAATGCCTTCTCAGACCATCCTGACCCTGCAGGGAAGGAAAGACCTGAGAGTATTTATCTGGCCATTCACAATGCACCAAGTGAGGAAGCACCAAATCTATACACAAGAGACAGCTCCAATAGTTACTTTTACCTGTAACTATCACACACAATGCATAAATGAACACTTCAAGCCTAATTCTGGGAATAAATCAAGTATTTTCCTTCTTCTTTCATATAACTGTAATGATGAACCACATAATAAAGCTTTTAGAATTATGTACTTTTCCTGAAATAGCAGAGAGTTAAGAGTGAAAAAGACTTAGCTCATTCATCATTTAAAGCCCGTGTTTAATGTATAACAGTTGTATATTTTTATATTACAATATTTTTGTTTTAAATGTTTTCTTTCACATATTTTTTATATGAATGTTTGCTCACCATAGTCTAAAGGGTTTGATGTGCCACAAGACAGACTAACTAATAATTTGTTTAAGGAAAGAAATGTATGTATTAAAGACATACAGAAAAACATTTTGATACCAGATAGATTATGATTCTGCAAAAGCAAAAAACTTTTGTTGAATACAAATTACATTCTTAAATTTAACCTTTAATTTTATTTTTGAACTACTTTTATCTCTAAACTAAACATGATTTCAATTGAAAAACCCACCATCTCTTATAAACTTGTATCCATTCTTTTCTGTTTGTGCATTTAATTGACCAGTGACCTTCAAATACTTCACAGTATACAAAGTAGGTGCCATATACAGCATTGTCTGTTCTCCACATCCACGAGGCTGTTGGATGAGTTTTTCAGTATCTTGTAATGCCGTTTCAACAACTGGGCCAAAACGATCAGCTACATTAAAGGAAAAATGAAATAACTAAGTTTTGAAAGGATAGAAAAAATCATATACCATGTTTTAACATCTAGTACTTATACATCTCAGCAAAAAAAAACAAAAAAAAACATACAACACAAAGGTTGCACTGAATAAATTGTATAATACAATAAGAGATGAAACAAATTGAGTGGTACAACAACAAAAAAAGTTTCTTAATGAAAAATCAACTCTATTGAATAAAGAAAAACTAATGATGTTACAGCTTAAAATGACTAATTACTTTGTAAAACAAATAATAACATATTACATTAATCTTCTTAATAACCTACAATGTTTTTTCTTTCATTAAGTGCCACCTTTTTACATTCAAAATAAAATAACATTTCTAATAATAAAGAGCTACATTTTAATAGGGAAACATATTTCTAATACCTCTTTCACTTTTTTACATTTGGCTTTCTCTTTTACATGAAAACTGCATGTATTAAGTATATACTTAAATTTAGTTATTTCTGATTCAAAGCAGTGGTACAAAATATTTAATGGGTGTTTAGTTTGGCTATCCAAAAAATATAAAAGGAATTAGACACATGAAAGAAAGATAAGGTTCAGACAACCACTGTGAACAATGGTAGCAGTAACAATGGTCACTGTTAGAAAATATGCCACTGCTTTATGAGCATGTAAAATTTCTGCATTGTTCTTGTTTTGTTCCTTGTATTGTTTCAAATACTTCTTAACTTATGCCTAAATTTAGTCCTTCTTTGTGATGACAGCACAAAATATGAGTTTGAAAAAATAGTGTTATTCACTACTTAAACCTTTTTTTAAGAACTATATGGACACATAACAGGGTTATAAGAACTGCACACTAAGAATAACTAAAATCACCTTTGAATATTGTTGATAAATAAATGCTAAAGGGTGTAAAAATCTCTTAATTCACATTACTACTTCTATGCAACTTTTCAGGGATAACTTCCTTTATTTATAGTTTATGGTTGATTAAAGTTATGAAGCAAATGATAATATGAAGAATAAAACTAATTTCTTCTCTTTAGAAACAATTTACAAAACAATATTATCCACAAAAAAGTGAAATGTTTATATATCCTTTTTGAAATTACTAATAATTTAGAAGTAAAAACATATACAATAATTAATTTGATTATAAATATAGGTACAATGAAGGTTATTCGTTCAAAAACATGTTCAAGATTAATATTTTCTAATTACTTAATTTGTGGTGTTCAAGCAACAGAGAATTTTATTCTCTGATAGCTTTCAAAACATTGTTTATATATATATATATATTACTTAATACCTTATAATGCTAGACACAATTAAAAATAAAAACAAACGTTTTGTTTTGCATAAATTTTAATTTTAGGTCAAATTAAATATCCAGAAATTGCATATTAGGCTTATACTTCTGAAAATTAAAGAATTAGATATTTTGTTAATTTCCATGCTGATAACTTTGGATGAAGCAAATATGTAAAATTTCCTATAACCTGTATTAAGAATTAAGTATAGAGAAAGTACGGTTTGAAAAATGTAGGGTTATAAACAGAACCATAGGACTGGGTTATATAGGTCTAATGACTGTGAATGTATTTGTTATACTTAAGTGATTTAAGTCAGTTTAACAGTAGATAACTTAATGTGAGTATAGTAGTTAAAGTAGCTTCACAGAGATACATCCATTGTACTAGACAGAATTTTCTTTTTTTTTTGTGAACAAAATTAAATAAACTTAAAAATTTAGTTCAATCATTACCTTAAGCATTTGCGATAAAACTGACACACTGCAGTCTACAAACTTACCAATAACTGAAACTAAGCATGTAGCTGTGTCTGGAACATAATTAGGTGGTGGCTGCAGCTTCACAATTGAAATCTGCATCTTCTTTTCAGGATCAATGGAATCTATCAGTAAAGTATAATAAATTTCATACATAAACTACAAACATAAAGCAAATACTAAACCTCTTTTAATGTTTTCAAAATTTTTCAAACACAAGAGTGGTTCTGTTGTGTATTATGAAAACAACTGTTATTTCTTCACGTTTAATAAGTGTATTTATTTCCATGATAAAAAAACTAAGTATAAAGATAATGAGATATAATATAAAAACTAACACATAAAATTATTTCTCATTTGGTATCTATAGCTAGTCTAATTAAAAGATTAATTATCAACACATATGACTTAAATCTTTCAACAAAATGAGAAGTGTAAACAAGCAAACTCAGCTTGTTCATAAAACAGTATCATTTTTCCCTAACCTTAATCTTAGATTATCTAATATACATTTCAATATAGTGATTACACAGTTTATACCATCAGTGCCAACCTACAATAATTATACTACACAAAAATTTTAACATGTCTAATGTGGCAACACTGAAAAGAGAAAATGTGCTTTTATACCAATGTAGTGTTTTTCGTGGATGCTTCTTTTCTGTCTTTTTTGTTGATTAGTGGGATCTAGTTGCAGTGATATAAGTTTTGAGTCCTTAGCTCCTTCTGGCTAGAAATGGTAAAAATATTTTGATAAAAAAGATTAATGTTCTATCAAACAATTAAGATTAGAATCAATATTCTGATCTTGATTTCAAAGAAGGAAAATTGGAAGCATTGGTCTTAAGTAAAATTACTGAAGCCATAAAACAAGCATAGTTAATGCTTCTCTGTTCACAGGTTGAAACAATAATTGTGCCAGTTTTCTTAAATATGTTATAAAGATGACCTTGTTTTTGTATTAAATGTATTAAAATTATAAATGCTATGAAACTAAATAGTCTTTACTGAATTTGTTTATGTAAAATTAAACTTACAATAAATATTGTATCAAAAAATTCTAACAATCAATATAAAGAATGATTAAAAAGTCTGGGTAAATAACACTAAAAAAAGCCTTTTTACTGATACACTAGAAAAAGTCAAGCTTAATACACAAAAGGCTAAAACAGCTTCAGCCACATGGCTAAAACACATATCACTAAGGAAAACAGTAGACTATGTTAAAATGTTCGACAGGTTTTTAACCATTTGGTTTGAATGAAACCTTTAACCTTCTGTATTTTAATTAATTTAGTTAATTAAGTATTTTAGTTAATTTCATCAGACGTGTTACTAAAAAAATTTTAATAGTAATAATCAAGTCCATACATGTTTATATTTTTTTATAGTTCAGAAGCATCATTTGCTATGGGGAAAGAGGGGGAGGATTGCTTAAATATCAAAGTACAGTAGAGAATGTCATATATACTGACACTTCTTTGCCCCCCCCCCCCCTCCTCAATTTTTCAGAAATGAGTACACATGAGTGGATGGACAAAGAGCAGATTCAAGTACTGGTAGTTAGAGAATTTTTTACATTGGTTGCCCAAATGTTTTTAAGCAGATAAGTTACATGAAAAAATCATTGATATAGTCTTTATATAAAGAAAACTTGTATTTGAAATTAATATATCTTAAAAATTTTTTATTCTGGGGGATAAAATTTCTTCAGAGGCACACTAAGAATCATAAGTTTTATTCAGGAAAGTTTCAACACGATAAGTGTGTTTTAAAACCTTATTATAGTACGCAAATAAATAACTTTTCTCAAAACTCAGCATTGCCTATATTTCCTTTTATCTCTCTTTCTCTTTTAACAATATTTGATTGACATTATAAATATAAATCAACTGTTGAATGGCTATGCTACCAAAATAATGTCAGTTTTATTTGATCAAAAGGCAATTAATTCCAAAAAAAAATTTATACCCATTTCCTTATTAGAGCCACAAGAAATTCAAAAATTAATTAATCACTTTGAAACAACTGGATCCATAAAAGATGCTCCTCATCTTTAGTAGCCATATTATGTACATGCAGAAATAGTATCAAAGGTAGCCCAAAATATTCAAGATCAAGCTGAGAAGCATCCTTTATAAAGTGCAAAGTAGCAGGGATGCTGTTCGAGAATTTGATCTTTTGCAAAATACAGTGTGAAAATATTAAAAATATAAATACTAAAGCTCATTACTTTATAAGCTTGTATGTCAATAAGGTTGGTAACCTGTCTTTGCAAATGTTGGAAGACCACATTATTCATACAGTTCCCACACTTAGGCTGACAAAATTACAGAACCATTAAGCATTTTTCTATGACTTTTTAAGTATATCAGTAACTAATTTAACATTTCATGCATAACTATTAGTTTTTTTGTCAATCTGTTGTTAAATTGATAAACAGAAAAAAACCAAAGCATGTAGTTGACTATTAGGAGAAAAAGTCATATTACATGGATTATCACACACACACACACACACACACTGCTTAATCCACTTGAATCAGATAGATCAGAAAAATGTTGAATCTCACCAGAATTTCAAAAACAATGGCAAACTAACCGTATTTTTTGTTTCAATTTTAGCATTAGAACTTAAGTATATTTTTTCCCAAAATGAATCAATTTTCTGTAAGCTTACTCACCAATTCAACTGTAGCTACTAAGGAGCTGACGATGGCATGAAATGTCAATGAACATTTGCAACACTGCTTCTTATTTGTCCATTATTCACTCACAGCTGCCACAGTTTTTATTCTATTACTTTTTGTTTTTCCTGGCTTTACAGAATTTTAAAGGAAATTTAAGGGCCTTTCCAAGGCCTGGAGAGCAAAATTATATATTACTGTATGTTTCCCTGTTTACTGGATCTGTGAGAACAATGTTCATTCCAACATGGTGCAGCCCCTGTGGTAAATCTAGTACACAGTCATTTGATCTCCACAAGTTTTACAGATCTAATATGTGGAAAGACACATGTGGCAATTTGCTAAAAGTGAAATGAGAGAGACATGACATGGTGTTGAAATCTGTATAAAATAGGACAATTCAAAATAAAAAATGAAGGTGCTGCTGATCAGAATGTATAAAGGAAATGGAAATGAAATGAAACATATTTTACATGATCAAGTATTGGTGTACAAGGTTACAAGGACTGGACTTTGATAACTAGTCTTCATGCTCCCAAACACAAAGCAATCTTCTGCAAAAGTTGAAATGAATCTGACATGAAAGCTTCAAAACTGCATTTACAATATACATTCTCTCTATAGCTGACCAATCAGAAAACAACCACCAGAATTTGGAAATATCTCTGTTTCATGTGACACCCACAAGGTAGTCCTCAATATTCAAGGTTAAGTAGAATACAATGAACTATCCCATGAAATAGTGGATGAGTCCCTTGACTACACAGTTTACAGAAAGTAACATCTCAGCCTGAATCTAACTCTGAACCTCAATTGGATTTATAAAAATTCAAAAATTGTTGAATAGGATATATGTAAGACAGTAAGATATGTAGTATTTGTTACTAAATCTTCTCCTTTCTATGGTCTTGTTATAAGGTTTCTAACATACTTTTTCAATGAATTATAAGCTGTTTATTTGTGAATAAATGATTGATGAGATCTATCATTGCAAAGTCAATGAAATTTCCTCAAAGAGAAAGTCTATTGTAATTGTCTTCCAAGTTTGAATGATCTGAAGATTGATTTTAGAAATAAGAATTGTTAGAATCAATGCATACTGTCCAAAACATAGATGCTGTTTGTAGTGGCTTCACTTTGAGATAGGCTCGAAATGCCATTTGAGAATGACAAAAAGCATACTGAACACCTGTGACAGTTTTTGAAACACCTTGTACTATAACCAAACTTTCCTGATTAATAGTTGTAATTCTCTGGTGGGAATAAATTTCCCTAATAAAATTAGTTTTAAAATAATCATTTTAATATAGGTCTGTTTTCTTTATAATCACCCGGTCCATGTATAGTGTTTTTGGAGAAATAAATAGCTATTTAATCAGAATTATAAACCAAGAAAATATATCAAAATATAAATACCCCACTTCCATTATATTGTTTTTATATAACAAATGTATTTTCTGATAATGCTATAGGCAACTAGCAGCATTTGTAATATCTTTTACAAGCAAAAGTACCTGTCCCCAGTGACTGGAAAAGTTTTATTTAATCTATTAATTTAAATTGTTTCATGGACTTTAAAATGGTTAATTGTGTTGCACTCTTGGTTTCACTCAGAGCCAAAGCTTTGAGCTACTTATACCGCCCACCACGAAAAGTAATTGTTTAGTATTTCAGTCATGCTAAGAGCCACTCAACAATAACACATAGTAAATCTACATTTTTATTCTTTAAGTTATGTCACATCTTGAAATGTGAATGATAGCGTAATTAATTCCTAATAATTTAGTATAGAATATCCTGCTTGCAAAACAAAATTTGGTATCATAAGTTTTCATGCCCGTACTCCCCATCATTTTAAAAGTGAATATTGAGCTTTGCCTGCGTCTGCAGCTTTTCAACTGTCAGACAGATGAATGCTTGGACAGGCACAACAGTTCACAATATTTACAAGATAATTGAATTATAAACTAGTAAAAAGGATTATATATATAATTCCTCTTTTATAAGAAAATTTTCATAATGTGCATAATACACAAAACTAATCCTAAAAACTTACTACTAAAATTATTCTTACAGAAAGTCAATAATAAAAAGTACTATGTCTACAAAAGTGTGAACTTTGAACACATTCACAGCATTAGTTTTTAGTTTAAAATAAAAAAAATATAAACATATTCTTTAACAAAATTTATTATTAAACTTTCTTTTTACATTTTAATATTTCTATGATGTTTGGTATTTTCTTAGAATTTATTTGGGATTACATGACGGTTGTATCACACAAGTTTTCATATTTTTTAAATATTAGGTGTCTAAATTTATAACTTCTTGTAAAATATTACACAAAGTATTTATTATTACACATGATAAAAACTGTATTTAACAAAGTCTTATATAAGAAAAAAAGACTATTTAAAAAAGAGCTTTGTTAGTTTACAATTGATCTGTTACTTACCACAACATTCAATTTTTTCTCAATGAAATCACTTCCATCAATAGTGAAAACTACAACCCTAACAGGAAATTCGCCCACCTTCAGAGGCACAACAGGAAAGCTCACAGATTTTGCTGAATTTTGTGCAACATCCAGGACCTTCCTCTCTGTCCTCTGACCTTCCTCAGCTCCAGAGCACAAGCCTTTCACACCATACATATACACTGAAGCCTTAAATAATAATAAAACAATTAATTATAAAGGTGCCTGCAACAAAAATTGGACATATTTTTTGTACACATGACATTCTCTCTCTAGTTTTAAGGTTCATAAACAAGGTCTAATTTAATAAAATACTATTAATGCCCTAAATATCATACATCTGCCAAATAAACTTCAGTAAGTACATGAACATACATATTTTATTCCTGCTACACAAGTATATGAACTACATTAGGCTATCTAGATTATTTTTGATACCTCAACACTAAACAATCAATTTGTTTTGTGCATCTAGAACATTGACAAAACACTTCTTATTAAATAATGCATTGGTAAACTCAATGTTATATACATAGTATACACAAATGCATAATTTTTAAGACTTATTTTGTTTGAAGAATTGCCAAAAATACTTGGCATTCATATAGATCTCAAAACGCCCTAAGTATAAACACTGTCATGTGACATAATGTTTCCTTATAACAGGAACTTGCTAATAAAAACAATATTCTTTTGCTTGGAATTCAGTGTGTAAATGATATCATAATAAAAGTGTAATAATAACTTCAGTCAGTACTAAGTAGCAGCAATGTATAAGTGTATTGTACACATTCTGTTACTGAACTTTTGTACGGTAAGAAACTGTGATTACTATTGATATTTCAAATTTTGTAAACTTTTATAAAACATGTTTTACCAGTTTGTTTCCATTGATATGTAGCAAATTAATCTTACTTTATAGAATGCCTTATGAACTTAAAAGTAAATATTTCATTTACCCCATATGTTTATAATAGTGATTTTGTAGAGAAATTGATAACATTTAGTTATTCTGCATGTTCTATTTTTTCATCTAAAATAAATTAATCATGCTGGAAAGATTCTTGTAACTTATTTTCTATACTGAAATCTATCACAGCATACATTACATACTATACCAATAATTCAACTCACTCTGACAGGCTGGTGAGCATGATTGTTAAAAACAGTTGCTTGAATTTCCACTTGTTCATTCCTGACAACTGAATAAGGAATATTAAGCTGAACAAAAACGTTTTTGAAAGTAGTAATCTTCAAAGGTTCAGCTATACACATTCCTCCTGTGTTGGAGATCCCCACAGCTTGTACTACCCATGTGGTTATACTATGTGGTAGTGATAACTCTTTTTCTACCCTTCCTTTAGGACTATGAAGAAAAGAGAAAAATAACATCACAAATAATATTTTTAATGTTACTTTTTATTATAATAAAATAAAAGTTTGTCTAATGTGATGAGGTTTTGCATCTAGAAATTTAAAGAATGTTTTAAAAAAAACTTACTGTAAATTTTGATGCCTTTAATCAACATACAATTTTGTATTATCTTACAAAATACAATTATCACAGGTGATTTCATTAATTCCAACAAAAACAAATACAAAAACAATTGAATTATTATGTTTCATTCCATAATTTATTATAAAACTACATTATTTTCAAAACCTCACTTTACACATAGAGATCAATTCTGACAAAAATTATCTGATGAAATATGATATAAAAATAAGTCAACATGAATTCATTGAATTCAAGTCTTCCTTTATTAATCTATAAACTTTATTCTAAAATGTTATATGTTCTTTGGAAGATAAAAAGGGTGTAGAAACATGGTGAACTTAGATTTTCAAAATAGCTTTTGATGATGTGCCATCCAAAAGATCAGCTAGGAAAATCACATTGGCAAGGGTTGTAAAAATGCTATTTAATTGAATTGTAGAGTAGTTGGGTGGAAGGAAACAAAAAAGTATTATTAGCTACTTTCCTTATTTGCCAGAGATAACTCAGGCAACCTTCATCTTTCAAAAAATATTTGCCAAAGTTTATTATGGCAAATAATTTCTTGCCATATTTTTTATTATTTGCCTAAACTCATTTGCATGTTATCATGAATTACAGTCAATGTTTATGATACATAATTCAAAAGAAATCCAATTAAGATCAGCACAAACAGCATTTCCAATGGCATCTAATGAGCTCTCATTATAATATATGAAAATATGCAATGTTATATATTATTTCAATGATACAACAGTAGAAAATAGGAATGCTTTTCTCCAGTATTTATGATACATAATTCAGAAGAAATCTAATAGATATTACTATAAACAGCATTTCTAATGCCATCTAGCAAGCACTGATTGTAATACACAATAACAAATAAATTCAGGCAAATAATTACAAATATTGTGAGAAATAGTTTGCCTGAATTAACTCAGGCAAATACTTGTTGTAACATGGAGGGTGACTGAGTTATCTTAGAAAAATCATAGAGAGGGATAAAGAGTTTAAAAGTTTTGTGAAGTTTTCTTAAAACTAGTAACAAAATTTTATGCTAAATTTGTCGGGATGTAGGGATGGAAAAAAGATCAGAAGCAAGAGAGCATTTGGGATGTGAGGAAAATCTGTATTACCCATTCCTGCATTCCAACACTCATATACTGCACTCACTGTGTGGATGCATATATACGCAAGATTGGGTAATGCAGATTTTTTGAAGTATTTGTGGAACACATATACTAAGTATATATGTATTTAAAGGTCTTCAAGAAGTACATCTTATTTTTTATATTTTAATATGGAGAAAGCAGCAGATCAAAAATGTGGACACTAGTGAAACATAATACCAAATAAGGAAGATACAGGCTTGAAGCTCATCACATGAGTTAGCCCTGAGACATTCTGGTCTTGACCTTGAGGTGAGAAAATTCACAGCTATGGACTTGTACCAGACAGATGTGGTATGTTGAGAAAACCCCAACAGTTAGATAAAACACACAACCAAATGAACTGATGTCACAAAAAAAAGCAGTTAACAGGATGGCAATGAAAGACAAGGGTGAAATACTCTTAGTTGTTTGTCTCTATACACCCTAAGTTAATTGTTTTGGAAGATTTTACCAAAGATATTAGGTAAGGGACAGAATTAAGTTCTGTAAGGACCAATAACAAAGTGGATTTTGGTTACAGTCTGGTGGAATAGTCCACTTGTTGCTGGAAGATCCCATTTGTACCAATCAAGTTAAAAGAACCACTTTTGAAAATAGATCTACTGAACTTTTTGAACAATCAGAAAAACACTAAAAATTTATATATATATATTCATGTTTCTAACTCCAAACATCAACTTCTCCACACTTATCAAGTTGCTCCAAGGACCTGATCCAACTCCGGAAGAAGATGACAGGAATCCAGAATCTACAAGAAGTTCACCGTACAAGCTCCTTGTAAGTATGCTATTTCTGATCTACTCTAACAGTGTTTCACTTAAGGTTCAATAATGTATAATGAATAAAAAGAGAAGAATAAAAATACTAACTGTACTAAAGAAATGGTAGATTTGATAGTGCTTATCATGGAACTACTGAAAGATATCTTAGAAGAATTGTTAATGCAGTTATAACGATTATGACAGAGAGGATTTCTCATGTTAATTTAGTTGATAACTAATGTTTTGTCTACGTTACTGAACATAACAGAAGACCTTATTTATGAACACTTAGATCTTCAGAACTAAGAACTCAATGATTTAGAGTTAGGGTTGTTTCAAGATGACCTTCAGGATAACCAAGATGAAATGCTCAACTGTGTATAAATAAATAGACTATTTGATTTGTATTCAGTTATCTCTGTGTGAGTTCTTTATCCCACACGTAAGCTTCCTCAAGTTGGTGGCTTATGTGTTCCACTCGCAACAGCATGACTCAAAATCCAAATAAATTTCTTTGTAATGAGTGTAAAGTTGAACCCAACAACTAAGCTTACAGGTTGCCCACATGCCCATTACACTTTTCTCCCATCCAAAGTGCTATCTAGTTTCTAAATTTTTATATGCCTACATCCCAACAATTTTAGAATAAAATTTTTTTTTACTAATTTCTGCACTTTTTATGAGTTGAAGTTTTGACTTCCATATGGCTGTAACTTCTAGGTGGAAGGCACCATTTCACCAACTTATTCAGTTCTATTTAATAGGAAGCCATAATATAATCTATAGTTCTTACTTCTTGAAGCAAGATAAGTCATAACCAAGATATTGTGCAACATGGTAAGGAGTATACAGTAGATTATCTACTTCCATATAATGCACATAATAGCTTACTGATTAGAGACCATGATCAATACTTTTGGGTGGTAACTACTCTATCGTGGATCACTTGCTGCTCTAGGTATGAAAATGCACATCCCAGGAAGTAGTGAAGTGTTTTGGCAGGCAGGCTGGTCATAGGCACACTGTAGTTTACGTGTTATAGCTGACAAAGAAGAAGAAGAAAATCTACTTTTTTGCAGCCCATTTTCTAGAAGTTAAAGAATGTTAGCCTAACTTTAGAAGCAATTTTGTACGTGATTAGTGAAGGGCTTTTTATCTCTGCCCCTTTTCCTGGATTTTGCCAACATCCTAGCATACGTGCTACAATACACAATGTACAGCCTGCCATTTTTAACTGGACCCATCCCTACAAAGGGATCGCTCCCGCACTCCCTGATTATGAATTTTGTTGGGATGCTTTGAATTTAAAAAAATTTATTGCAATGGTGACAAAAACATTTATGGTACAACTGTATATTACTAAGAGGAAAATATTTTTAAACTTAATCAATGTTCAAAAACCCACAAGGAGATGTGTGGAAACTAAATCAGATATGCAGATTATAAAATAAAGGCATATTGTTTGTTGTAGATCACATGGCCTAGCTATTTATTTTATTTTCCATATTAGCAATTGCTTATGCTCATTAATAAGAAATATATTTTATCTGTTTATATATTACTGATAAGAATACCATTCATATTAGTATGTACTTTTAAGTTACACTTAATATTCAAAGCTATTACAAGATAACATATGTGTGTAACTGAGCTGGGTAATCTGTCATCCATACAGAAAACAAACTTTTGCAAATGAAGGACCAGACTAAAAAGTAAATCTCAGTATATCTCTATACTTTGTTTCCAACCAAATGATCTTTTAACACAGTACCACTCATCCAATATAAACATTGAAAATCTTTTAAAATACTATCATCCATTTTTCCAATATACATATCATTATCATTCATTTAAATATAAATATTAACATCATAAAAATTTGTAAAACACTAACACTCACCCAACATACATATCATCAAATATCCAAGTTTCCCTAAAGTCTTTCCTGATATTAAGTTGTTTCAGAAATTCTTGTTCCTCTTCTAACCCAACTGTAATTAGTTGATCAACAGGATCAAAGCCAAACCTACCACGGCCTCCTGTGTCTTTAAAAAAATAAATAAAATGCTTTATTATATATAACAGCTAGGTAGGTAAAAAAACATGCATTATGAATATGAAATTTAAAATTTGTTAAACCTAAACAGCAGATAACTACAGACAAGTTATCTCTAAACCACCCACTACTGTAAATATAGTTTGTTTTTAATGTATCAAAATATCTATACCTAAGTAAAATTATTTAATTTATTAATTATAACTGAGACTTATTGTCGAATGTACCCAACAATATAGATAATAGAATGCGTACATTCAACAATGATTCTCAGTTATGATTCACATATGAGTGTGTGTGTGTGTATATATACAAGCACACATACATATAAAAGAAAAAAAAGTTAAGATAACCTTCTGATTAACTTTAACCAATTCAAAATTATATTCTCATGTAGTCTCTCCATCACCTAAGATATATAAATGTTAAGATATGTTTAAAATAAACAGAAAGCTGAACCTTATAGCTAACTATGTTCAATTCACAATCACTACAGTATGCAATTAGTGTATGTTTCACAATCCTATTATGAAAATTACATATCTAATGTCCACAAAGATTTACATTTTTCTAAGTTTTGATTTAGAACATCATAGATATGGTTAAGGTCATATAGTAAATTCAGCTCTAGGTATTACTTTCTATAGGAAGATCTGATCAAGAAAAGTACTGATTTATAGGATAGTTCTATTGTGTCCTATTTTTCTTGGAGTACTACTGTACAATTTCATATACAACAGGAGTGTTTTGGGACTCTTACGATCCAGTTTCCTGGATTAGTCAACTACAGAGAAAAGTTAAATTATAATAATAGTTTGGCGTTTTCAAACAGATTTGCTCGGATCTTAAGAGTCAAGACTTGCTGTGGTCTCTGTTCCCTAAATTGATATGTGTTTTGTTTTCTTTTATTTCTTATTTCAATATAGTTTGCTTTCTTTTAGTCAATTTGCATTTTAACTTCAGTGTTTCACAGTAGTACTTTCAATAATATGGTCAGTCATTATATTTTTGTTTTTTGCAATAAAGTTTTTTATTTCAACTTCAATTTTTCACCCACTTCTATTTATTTTCATTCCCCCATACACAATCAATCACTACACCTTGTCCTTCCACATACTAGGTCCTAAAATTTCTTGTTGTTGCAGAGATCTGATAACTGCATGAGAGGCTTTTAGAGCTTCTACACTTAATCATTCTCTCTGTTTCACACATAAAAAATAAACATGATTATAAATACCATAGTCAAGTATGTAGTATCTTCAAAAGATCTTACTTTAGAAAATGTAACAATTATTATTATTATTACCAGTAATTGAGTTTTTCTTTGACAGATAGTTTATATAGAGTGTTCATATTGAATTGACTGTGAAATTGGCAGCAACTGCCCATTAAAGAAAGAGGTCCTGAAGGTAGTGGAAGACTTTCTAAACATGGTCCTCTACACTTGAGCTGCATAAGTAGATTGCATAGTCACCATTATACTTCTACAAGTGTTTCGCTAATAGGCAATTGCTGCCCATTTCATAATCAATCCAGTACTTAAGTTGTCATGGCTTTTAATAGTTATCTTACAAATATAAAAATTCAAGTTAATATTTCCCATAAATATCAAATAAAACTCAATTGTACAGTTAGTAGTTGGAAAGAAATGCGATAATTTATAAATTGCTATTCTTTTATCAATCACAGTCCCAGATTGGGAATTATTAAATGTATGTTGCCTTACTAGTGATTATACCTTCATTTGCTACTAAGACAACTCATGAAATTAAGACAGAAAAATGTTTTTGAGAGAAAATGCAATTTCAATAATTCATTTTGGATGAACATTAAAATAATTCCTAGTGACTAGTGACTATTTAAAAAAATACTTCACTTTTTGTTTCAAAGTGTTTTCTTAGAATTTGTAAAATATGTATATTGTCTTACTATTGGCTACACCTTCATCAGTTTTGAAAGTTTGTTTTTATTGTTAAACAAAAAGCTACACAATGGGATAAATGTGCTGTGCCCAACAAGGGTATAGAAATTTAGAAATCTAGTTTTTAAAGTTATAAGCCTCCAGATTTACTGCTGTGTCACTGGAAGGCCAGATTTGAAAGAATCCATGAATTTGGGTGACAGATCTTATTACAATGTATGACTTCAATATCAGTACCACCATCCTGAAAGAAAGTTTATTATTAAGTAATATCATATTGCTTTTACATTCTTCAATTATTGATAGTGTATAAGTAATTGTGACACATCTTATTATGATACATGATTTTAACATTAACATTATTTTTGATAGGTCACCAGAAAGTAGGCAGGTACCTGAGGATTGGTAAGTTGTTAATGTTATTCCTCTTTATAAAGGGGTAATGAGATTTCCCAGAAATTATAGACCAACTGATCTTATCTATGTAATGAGAAAAAATTCTATTGATTGAGAATGTTAAAAGAACTTTCGCAAAATCATCTAGTGAAATATGATATCATATAATAAGTTCAACATGGATTTATTAAAGTAAAATCTCTTCCTACTAATTTAACTTTGTTATTTGTTATCTGGACAATGGAAAGGATGTGGAGACTTGGTGTACTTAAGATTTTTCATAGAACTTTTAATAAGGTGCTACAAGTAAATATTACATAGGATTTTCATTCAGCTAAAATTAAAACCAGTAAACTTTACTGTCTTGATATCAATAATAGGTTGGTTTATTAATGATAAAAAATATATACTGACCAAAACGTGCAAGTAACTTGGAATGCTTTTCTTTGCAACATTCTAAAAATGCTTGCATACAAGTTTCCCTCCCATCGAAGACAAATTTTTCAAAAATGGCATGTCTTTCTTCACAGCTTCGCTGATCTGGATCATGAGTCATGCCCATAATACAACACCCTTTGTCTAATCCTTCGTAATTTTTGGCTGAAAAATTTAGTTTAAATTGTAAATTGTACTTTTACAGCTATTTTTATCTAAACAACAAAACTTGTAAGCCTTCTTACCTATATCTTCAGTGTTTTCTGTTTTTTACCCTACTTACTTTTTTACAACAAAAATTATTGTTGATTTTACAGTATGGTTGGTGAAATATAACTCACACCAACATAACATTCTTCTCGGGAAGCAATATCAAAAACAACAACGAAAAAAATTTCACATTTTTTATATTAGTAACTTGAAAGCACGTATAAATTAAAACACAAGTTTCAAAGTTAAAAAATAATTTCCTAGTTGATTTGTTACTTTATTTATACCTTCTACTATATCCAAACTTATTCAAACAACACTAATTCTGTGAGTATAATTCTGACAAAAAATTTTAAGAACTTAATTAACTCAGATATTCATTAAAACTTGTAATAAAATTTTGTATTATTAACTATCGGTGTAACAAATTTACTGAATCAGCACAGACTTGTTATGATCTTACCTTATAAACTAAATGTTTCTTGTTAAAATACTTGCAAATATACTTGTGATATTGTGGAAGGCAGTCATTACACGTCACAATCTCTCATACAGAATATATTTCTAATAGAGTGAGCTAAATTTTCTAACTTTCCATGTTATGGGCCATAATATTGTAAAACAAAGCTAGGCCATCTGTTAATTTTCAACCATGGTGTTATTTTCTATGGCATGGGTTTGTTGAATATTATCAGCTATCTTGTGGGATAGTCTTACTATATCCACTATCACCCTCAGTATGATGATATTTTGACTGCTGCATGAAACAGAGATACTCCTGAGTACTTTTGATTAATATTTATGTGATTGGTCAACTATTAAGAGGATATGAATTAACAGGGAAATTTTCTCACTTCCAGAGAGATTTGCTTCAGCTTTGAAAGATGCAAAGCCTTTTGTGAATTTTGGTTGTTTGTTTCAAATATAGACTAGACTAGATAGACTGATAGACTAGAGAGAGGGCAACTAATCAACCTCAGTCACCACTAACCTTTGGGTTACTATACTTAATAGTAGGATTTGTTTATGACTCTTATAAAGCACCCAAAGCTCCAATGGGACATGAACCATAGACACAGTCATACTAACTATTAAGCAATGCAAAGCCACTGTTTTGAAATGCCATGTTGTTTCATTGAAGTTCTTCAATTTTTGTTTGTCTGTTGGCTAACAACTTAGTGCAAATTTGTTTCTTTACATCAAGTTAAGATTTAATCAGTTCAAACTTATTTGTAGCTTCCATTTATTTACAGTAAACCATTCTATTTTACTTTTGGTTTATTTTAAATTCACTTTCCTTAGTTAACAGATCTGCAACCTTAATTCAACCAGTGCCATTTATCATTTTATTTGTGTTTCATTAACACTAAAGTGTGCTTGCTTTGTGCTAGTCTCTTCCATTTTGTTGCCAACAAGTCAACAGCATTCTCTTCTGAAATCTTTGAGTTAATGATTACTGCAATGATCATCTACCTGTGTGTTCTATATTCCAATTCTTAGAATACCACAATATTATAAACTTTCTATGATTACAATTTCAGATAATGTAATCACTCTCCCAGTTTTTCAAAAAGTTGGTCCATGTTTATAAAAAATAAAAGAAACATGATATTAAAATACTTGAAGAAAAAATTTATTTTTAGAAAGTTCGAAACAGTTCACATTTATCCAATAATTATTGGGTTGTTAGCTTTCTTTGTGATTACTTTTACACGGTTCAAGAATTCTTCTGTTAGAGATACATTATGTGTAAATTTTTTATTTATGATTAAATTTAGTAACTATGTACAACTACCAAGAATAACCTCATGTTAATACAATGACAATGACATTTTAAACTTAATCTATATTTAAGCCACATGCAAAAATTAATATCCTTCTAGCAACTTAGTATATTATAATTTTTATAACTTTAAAGCCTAATTAACAGTTTCATTACTGCTTACAGGAAATTATTGCAAAACAGTTTGTTAATAAATAAAAAGTATTATTGAATTAAAAATATTTCAAGCCACCATAATAATTCTAACATACCTATTTCTTCCACGATTGCTCGCTTTTTTCGAATACGCACGGCACAAATGTAATCTGTAAAAAACAGCTTTAGTAGTAGAAAGGGAATTTCAAAGACAATTTCATTTTCTTGGACATTACATTAATTGACAAATACTTAGATTATAACAGTTAAAAAAATGTAGGACACATCTGCTCAAGAAAATGCTAAGATAGTTCATAGTTAACACAAAAAATAAATTGTAATTACATGAATACATTATCTTAGTTAGAATGTTCAAACATGCTAAAATTATTTGGTTTTTACACTCATTTTATATGAATATGCAATTTTGTTTTAAATATACAACAGCTCTCCACACAAAATAGAAAATCTGCCATTTTTATGCTATTGACTCCATTAATTCGAAACTGGTGTCTAAGATTTCAATTTTTTTCTGTGTAATTCAATGAGATACTACTTGCATACTAAATATTGATATTGACTCTTGTCAATGATTTTGTCAGTCCTCCTTTTTCACAGAAAATCCATCATAATTTAGAAGCTACACAGAATTTAATGCATATGAAAACATTTTTTTCATTTTTCACACACATAATGACATCACAAAAATTAAGATATATTAATCCTTAGTACCTAAAATTATTAAAAGTATTAAATTAAATATACATGTCAACAAATACTGTTGAACTTAAATTTTGGTTATTTCATTTTTTGCCAAAAGTTGTTTATTTTTTGAATTTCATGCAATGCACTGCTAACTGTTGGGCCACACTTTATTAACAAAAGTGTGATTGACCATCAGATTATAACAACCCTATGGATGAAAGAACGAGTATATTCAGTGAAGGGTTTCAATCTCACAACCTGTAGCCTGTAAGTTGAGCATTTCAACCACCAGGACAAGGCTTCCCTAGCAGAAAAGGTCTTAAAGAACAATTTAAATACAACTTGTCTTTAAAACTTTTAAACAGCATTTTAATGAGTAAACAACTTCTTATTTTTCCTGCATTGTATGTATGTGTAGTTATGTAATAATCACACATACGTACAAGTATTGGTATTGGCATTTTCAATATGAGAGGAATTTTACACATGGCCCGGGATGGCCAGGTGGTTAGGGAGCTCGACTCGCAATCTGCGGATCATGAGTTCGAATCCCCATCCCACCAAACATGCTTGCCCTTTCAGCTGTGGGGACATTATAATCATAGCCCAAGAGTTGGCAGTGGGTGGTGATGACTAGCTGCCTTCCTTCTAGTCATCTTACACTGCTAAATTAGGGACAGCTAGTGCAGATAGTCCTCGTGTAGCTTTGCGCAAAATTCAAAAAACAAACAAACAAGCATCTTACACTCAATGTTTTTCCTGCATTGTTATTACATAACCACACATAAATACAAGTAGTGGTTGGTATTTTCAATGTGAGAGGCACCTTACATTAAACATATGCTAAACAATTAGGTCAGGGGTCTCCCAGGTTCAGACACAACCAACATTCTAAATTTAGAGCTCCTGACCACAGAAAGAGCAACCATTCAGTCAGAAGCACCTGCCATCTACATATATATATATACCCTAAACTTAAAAGCAGGAGAGACTATTACAGTTATTATAAGGCACAAAGATGAAAATGTTCAAGATGTTAAGCAGCATTAGGTGGTGGTGAAAATCTTGGTACCTTTTGATCCATAGTCTGGCATGTAAACCATCAGGCCCCCCTCAACCCTATGTGTTGACACCACTTTAGTATTGTGTCAAGAAATTACAATTTGTATTCACCAAGTTAAGTTATTCTAGAATCCTTGTAGAAGTTTATTTATTTCGTTAGTGAGGAATAAAACAAAAATCCACAATTAAAGTATCTTGACAAAATAACAACATCAACAAGTATATAATTACAATACATATATACATATTGCAATCTAAATGGCAGTGTTTATAATTTTGGTCTATTATCTGCTCCAAATAGATGATAGTGAAAACAATATGACAAAACAGTGAAATGCTGCCTTGAGACAGTGTTACTGTGTGCTGAGAAACAACATTTCTTCTGATGAGAAGCATTTTTTTTATATTCGTAAAAGAAAGGTTGGCATGTACAGCACAAAAAGTTTATTTGTTAATTTAATGCACAAGAAGCTTTGATATATAATATATACTACAGGTCAAATAAAATCATTAGAATGGATATTATACTAATGTTCAACAGTAACTCAAATACACAAAATTTAAGGAAGAAGAATAAGATAAAATGACTGACAATAATATTACTTTGGAATTTTTTTTCCACATCTTTTTAAATGAAGATACAACTTTCAATTTTTGAAATTTCATTTGAACTTGCCTATACTTTCTTTCAAGCTATAAATTCTAGGTATTCAGTAATTTTAGTTTACAGTGGTACTAACATAAGTTACTTATCCCATATTTTTCATGAAAATCTTACTGTTCCTGTACTCCTTACATTGAACTTGTATTGCTGCTATTTATTCATAATTATAAACTCGACTTGCTCATGATAAACTTGTATTATTCTTGTATCTTTTATGGTAAACTTGTACTGTCCTTGTGCTATTCATACTAAAATTGTATTACTAATGTTATTTCTCAAGCTAAACTTTTGCTCTTATTGTGTTATTCATGTCTAATATGTATTGCTTTTTAATTTCTTATGCAAAACTAGTGTTAGCAATTTAATCATAATGTTAAACTTGTGAGAACACTACAGAGTGTATACAATTATACATGTATTAATCGTCCATTCATATGTATTTTAACAAATACCAAACATGTTACTTTTCTGCTTCCTCGTACACCTCATTTATCAGAAAAATGTAAGAGTCTTTAACTGTAGCTCTATCCATCAGTAGTTCTGGTTTTCCATTAATTTTTACATATTCTCTAAGTACCAAACATCACGTAGTTTCAGATAATCATCTGAAATAAAAAGTCTCTCACTTTTAGAAATAAAAATTATTTGTAAACATAAGAACAGGTATACAAAATATAGATTACAATTACAATACTAGATAGCCTTACCTTCACGTTGGTAGTTAGTATGTTTTATATTAGAGAGAATTACAATTCCAGCATTGGCTAACACATTCTGTATGTTACTACCTCCTCCAGGTCCACATCCCAAGTCATGATTTTCCATTTCTTTGAACATCTAATTAGAAAAATTAAACATTTATGAAGACAGACATGATGAAAAAAGCTGTAAAGAATATCTACAACTTAAAACTTATTACATTTTAACTAAAACTGGATCAATAATTATGAATAAAACCAATTTATAAATACTTGTACTTGTAATGTAAATTTTCAGAACAATGAGTACACAGATGAACTATAATACTACAATTTTAGTTAAAGTTCACCCATCAACTTATTAAAAAAAAATATAAGAAATGATTTTATAGTATAGAGAAACCATATATTAAAAAAAGCCAATATACACAGTAATAAGAAAATTATAGAAATACACAAACAATACAGATACAAAAGTCAAAAACAGTGAATAATGGCAACAATATGATAAATGTATTAATGTATTTTAGTTTTGATCCCTTTCTTTTATGCAGAGCATTACACCTAGTTTCCATGATGCCATACAAGTTTTCAGTGTATGATTGTGGAATTTTGTTTCCACTGTCCTTTATTACTTTCTAAAATTCAATCAAGCTGTTAGATCACCTTTTGACTTTCTCATTTTCTACATGAAATAACATTTACGGACAGCAAAGGATGTTTTAGTCCATCAAGGCTGTTTCATCCAATAATTACACTATTAAAAAAAACTCAAACCAGCCATTATTGTTCAAACATTTATCAAGTCTTCCATTAAACTCTCTTAAAGTTAATGTCTTATTAACCAGCTTTAAGGCTAAGTATACCTAGTCAGGCAATACTCGCCACAGAGTAGGATCCAAGCATGCAAGAAAAGTCACTGCAAAATAAAGGAATGGAGTCCTTAACATCCACAGAGAAACAGTATAGTACTGATGATGTCCTCCAAGGGAAGATGGAAAAGTGCAGCCATGGACATGGTAAGGTGACAGATTGGATGGGAAGAAAACATGAAAAAGGCAACAATCCTCAGGAGAAACGGGGAAAAGACTGCAAGTGAATTAACTGGCAAAACCAACCCACAAGAGTAATGGAAGAGGTGAGTATTCCAAAAAAGAAACAAATGGACTTGGGAACCACAGAAGGTAGAAGTGTGTCATATACCATCGCAGAGTCCTGATTGGTCAAAGGTGATGGGTGGGATTAGAATGGTCATAAAGGTGGGAAATGGATGGAAGGGAAATGTATGTGTGAAGGTAGAATTACCCTCTCGAGCAGCCAAAGTCTTGGGCATAAAGGAATGATCAGGAAAAAGGGAAGAATAGGAACTATGAAACAAAATACAGCGAACATCAATTGCAAACACAACAGAATGACAATGTCCACAGGGACTTCAAGGAAAGGTGATATAATGAACATGAATACAAAGGTTCAAAAGGTGTATGGGGAAGAGCATGGAGGACCACATTGAGGAGCCAATCAGGAAGAGAAGCAGGGCAAAGAAGATGGGAAAAGTGGAAGGAATAAAATAACATGGAGATGACTGGCAACTGGAAAACAAGGAAATTCAGTAAATCGAAATGTGACAGAGAATGCCATCCTATAGCCCACAACAGAGGAAACTTAAATGTTCCATTCAAAAAGCCAAGGCAAAAAGGACATTATGTAAGGAACAGTAGGAGGGGAAGAACTATAACCCCTATGGACAGGCCAACAGTGGTATGTGTACCACTGACACTGGTAAACTGCCATGGAGAAAGTGTGAACAAGATGGGCAATGAAGGAAGCTATACACAAAAGTCTGGCTCTTCTGGAGAGGGACCGGAGGATAAAAATTACACAAGAAAACAGAATGCAGATATAGACAGATGATGCACACCAGAGTGGGGCTGATGGAAGAAAAAAGGGAATGTAACACCAAAAACCAGTGCTGCAGTTGAAACTACATGTGAGCCAGTCAATACGAAGCCACTAGCAGAACACTACACAAAATGGTCTGAAGTATGGCAAGAACACATAGGAGAAGACAAATAGGAGGCTATGCATATAGGTACCAACCTGTCCAAACCTAACTGAAAGCACTGACTGCTCCCACCAGAAGATGAGGAACAAGAGACCAAAATCGAAGAAGAAGAGTGGCAAAACAATCCAAATCTGGGACACCCCACTGAGCACACATACAAAAAAAACAAAAAACAACTGGCTTCAAAAAGTCCACAGGAGATGAAGTTAAGCCCAACAAACAGCAAGAAGTTCCAAGAGATTGATTGATATGGAGAGAGGATCAGAAAGAAACCATCTCCCCAAAACCTCCTGAGTGTCAAGATATGCCCCACCCAACCAGAAAGAGAAGCATCAGATTTTAAGAATAAGTTACAAGTATCACCATCATATAATATATTGTAAACTTGGTGAGAGAAATTGATACAAAGATACAAAAAACAAATCTGAAGAGAGCACATACTAAACGTTTGAACACGAGTACTGCCAAATGAGAAGTGATAGTTAGGTAGAATAGCATAAAGGGAGTCACATAAGTGTGTGGCACTACTATTGGTGGAGGTTTGTCGCATGATAATTTGTATACAAGAATCAGTTAAACCATGTGGCATGCGAAAAATTTTTTTGCAAATAGAGGGCAACAGTGAATGAGAATAGCTATGTACGTGAGCAGAAGTAAGGTATCTTGTTGGAAGTAATCAATTTTTATTTGGATATATTGTTTATTTTTATACTTTTTCTATAAGTTAAAATATGCATCCAGGACTAGCCTTACCCTCATAGACTGGGCTGGCCAAACCTCATTATATTTATTGGGATTACAGCCAACAATATTATTAACAGAGAGGGTATCCAACTGATGAAAAAATACATTCCAATCTTTATAGGTAGAAACATCACAAATGCGTAATTAATAAGCTATATACTGATGGCCATGTTTATTTAGTTTCACTCTAAATACATTGGAACATATAAACAAGAAAAAAAATTATATTAATTTATATATTTAAAAATGTTTTGTAGCAGATTCCCTGTTAATTTATTCTAAAATTACTTATCTGAAATTATCTAACCTAGAAGGTTTTTAATTGTTCAACTATGTACTAAAAATTTTAAGAACTTACTTTTTCTCTCGTCAATCTGTCTTTGTCACGTAGAATATAAACAGCTTCATCAACAGCTAATAATCCAATTTTCGTATCTTTAGTGGCCTCAACAATATTAATTTTTACAAGTTGTCCAGGCTTGGGACGATCTATTACATCTGTTTCAAGTTTAAACTAAAAGAAAACAAACAAACAAATATTTTAAATGTATCAGAAGGGATCAATACTCTTTTTGATATTTCTATGTTATGTGATAGTTTGGTGCAAAGAAAAGTTCACAAACACATGTGATTAATTTCCTCCATTTATCATATTATGCTTTACAAAACAAATAATCAAGTAGCCCAAAAAAGAACATTAACAAAGAATTCTCTGCATTATTGCTATAGCTCAATTTTGGAGTTAAAGTTAAGTTTGAGAAACTTAAAATAAACTATATATATATATATATTGAAAATATTATTTCACATTTCTGCAGATATTCACATGATATAAAATATAACATTACAATATGTATGTATGTTGGTCAGTACAAACACCTAAAAACTTCACCATAAAGTGAAAAGGATAAGAATTTTAAGTTTTATTTTTTTTCTTAATCTCTTTATCAGTTTATGTATTAGGTTATTCATACTCTAATGTCTGCTGTGATTTTCAAAAAAATACAAAATTAGTGCTTGGATACGTTTCTGAATACTTCAAAATATTTCCTACAAGTACAGAAATAATAGATCAGAAAAATAACTTTCACTAAACATCATATTCAAATTGTAAACAATGTAGTCCCCCTCCCCCAAAATATTTTCTTCAACAATCGGATTAGTTTGCTATGATATATACTGACCATTTATTTTTAGTGATAATTTCACAAGCAAAGTTATATAAATAAAATGTTCATGTAACTCCATAGGTTTATATATAAAATCATTATTATACTTACTAGCAGGAACACCCCCCTACAGGCAGCTGTTTGTGCTAGTAATTGATAATCATATTATTTATACCTCATTGAAACTAGTCCACAACCATACTTCATTGTCAAAATAATTTGTTGAAGTTGATGCTGAACAGTTCAAACTTGTATTCATCTGTATACAACCTTGACTCCACTACTTCTATTACACAGATATGAGTACATTATATGTATATTACATTGATTCTGAAGCCTCACCATGTCATTACAGCCAACATTGATATGCCATACAGTGTAGTTTCCATTTCTAAAGACTCCATCATAGGCACATCACTCTTCCCCAAAAGCTTTCAATAATCTATGCAGTGTACAAGGATTGTGCTTTTACATCACATGTTTAACAATTCAATTGCACAGAGATCCATAGGCACTGCATCTGACAACTTGACCACTATATTTGCATATATAATAGCACATATAATATATAGTAAATAATACACATTCTCAAACTGTTACAGGTATGCTATAGTTGAACATTCAGTACGACATGAAGCTTTAACTTGGTGAACCCATTCCCTGTTGGCCTCATTTCCATCTGAAGATCCTTCTTGACTATGTTGTGTACTGATGCCTGGAGCATTGTTTGTTTGTTTTGAATTTTGGGTGAAGCTACATGAGGGCTATCTGCACTAGCCATCCCTAATTTAGCAGTGTAAGACTAGAGGGAAGGCAGCTAGTCATCACCACCCACTGCCAACTCTTGGGCTACTCTTTTACCAATGAATAGTGAGATTGACCATCACATTATAATTCTCCCATGGTTGAAAGGGCGAGCATGTTTGGTGGGATGTGGATTCAAACCCACGACCCACAGATTGCAAGTCGAATATCCTAACCACCTGGCCATGCTGGGCCTGCCTGGGGCATGTAAATGGCTTTTACCACTTACCTCTGTGTTAATGAAGTCTCATCTTATCAATGATAAGGTAAAACTTGTTGAAAGTCACTTTCTGAATGGTCTTGGTGCTCCAAGTTGATCCATATTCCTTTGTTTTCCAATGTCACCAAGTACAATTTTAAGTCTCCAATATGAGTGTATGAATACTTTGTGACACAAATGGCTGTTATGCTTATTGTCATATACTTCATTCCTGGGAACCACAGCTAGATATTCATTACTATTAGTAGCACAGTATCACTGCCTCTACTTTTATAAGCTTTATACTGGTGTCAAAATTTTCTAATTGGTTGGATGACAACCAATTACAGTATAAACTCTCAACACATGACCAGGCATTTTGTTTCCACACAATGGTATTCCCATAGTAGTTGCCTTTTATATCTTTTTTCCTCCCCCATTTATATAATTATTTTCAATTGTATATACACGTATTGTTAAAATATTTGAATTATTAACATTGAGAAAAACCTGTGATGGAAAGTGGTGGGTAAATATGTCCCTTGCCCCCAAAAAAATCAAATTGATATGACTCATTGATTACAAATGATGTGAACTATAAATTTTGAGAACTTCAGCTTTTACAGAATCTATTTGGAGTAGTTAGCTGTTCAATATATAGCTATTACAGTAGATTTACCAATTCAGTTGAATTAAAACCCTCTCTAAATCCATTAAGTTGCAACAAATCTAATCAGTCTGCCTCACCTTAACACTTTCTTTACAGGTAGGTTCTACATTATACAGGATAGAGTCAGTCAACAGGTGCCCTTTGTACACAGCATAAACAACTAGTCGAAAGCTTGGTGACATATCTGTATTGACTTTGAAGAAGATTTTATGACCTATTAATTCAACTTTTGGAAGAAGTTTATGGATTAGGATCTTCCCCCTTGCAATTACCTGCAAAATAATATTCCTTAAATTACAATATATTTTTTTTATCATTAAGAAACAAAGAACATGTTTTAAAAAATTATATAATATGTTTTTTGTCATTTATTATTTAAGTGTGTTGCCTTAAAACATTCTAACAAAAAAAAACAACAACAACATAATTTAAAGTAACAAAAGTTATCTTAATTAATTACAAAACAAAAGCAAATTTTTAAGTTCTAAGATAAGATAAGTCAAATGGATTAACAAAATTATCTTCAGATAATTAACAAATTAAAATACAGATTCGGAAATTTTCAGATCTGGAGTAAGCTTAGTAAAACAATAAATAATCTTTTGTTGCTACACTCTCGAAATGATAAGTAAATAAAAAATAGCTTTAAAAGTTCTAAAACACAATGTTTCACAAAATCCTATGAGATATTTGAGATAAAGTCAACGATTTTTATTGGAAGAACCATAAAGGAGGACCAACAGTATTATATTTCAAAAGTTATGTAAAATCCATCATTGCACTAACTTGCATAAAAAATTAACTAAATGCCTGTCACATGACATAAGTGAAAACAACTTATTATGTATGAAAAATATCAAATTTTCAACAGTATGCTAAGCTTAACATACCATGTATGAAATCATGCGCATTCCACCTGCTGGGTTTGTCAAAACAGATGCTGAAAATTCTTCATCAACCTATAAGGTACACAAAAAAATTAAAGCAGTTAGTTGTGAACGTTACTTGACAGTTCTAAAATGCATTACATAATGACTTAATCATTTACACATCACAAAATATTTAGAATTTTAGCCTCTAGCATTTTACACAAACAAATAGTAATGAGAAAATTCAGTTTTTCTCGTTTCTTTGTATACCGTACAACAGTCACATAATTACAAGCATGAAGACAGAAGGCAACCATGATGTTCATCAACTCATATCCTAAATGAACAACTGTGTGAAGGACTTAAAAATGCCAAATATATGAACCACAGTATACAAGATGCCATTTTGGATATCCTCAGTGATATAATTTTGGATGAAATAAAAGAAGACATAGAAGAAGCTCAGTACTTTTGAATCTTAGTCAATGAAACTAAAGACCTATCCAAAGAAGAGCAGATGCATTTGGTACTTCAGTACTTTAATGATTCAGAAGTTCATGAAGAATTTCTTGGTTCTCAAGTCGCTAATGAACTAGACACAGAATCATTGACCATATATATTCTGGAAAAGTTAAAAATGACAATAGACTTGATGTCACAAATCTGATTGGTCAAGAATATGATGGCACCACTGTCCTGAGCAGCAAGTGCTCTGGGGTTCAACAGAAATTTAGACAAATCGTACCTCAAGCCATCTACATTCACTGTTTTGCTCATTGTCTTCACTTGGTCATCGTAGAAAGAGTGAAATCTGTTACTCCTTAACTGACCTTTTCTCAACACTTCATACTTGCTCCAGTTTTTTAAGTGGTTCTAATATTCATACACACAGTAGATTGTTTTCCAAAGAAGAAAAGACATGCACCCAAATAAGCCTGTAGAATTTAAAACAATGTCAGAAACATGATGGACTTGCCAAGTGCATGTTGTAAGTGCAATTGTAGCAAGGCTGGACTGTTTTATTAAATTTCTGCAGCATGTTGACAAAAAATGACAGTATCGAGGCTGTGCATTAAATGTCTGATCCAATTTGGTGTAATTTGACCAGACATACATGTACTGTATATTGTTTCTGAGTAACATCTTATGTGAAGCAAAAGGAGCATCAGATATAAGATTTGCTACTAAGTTGCAAGTTAGGTCACTTGAAAGTATCACATCTCATTGTTGTGATGAGAAAGCTTCATATTACTCTCAATGTTTTTGTGATTTTGCTACCAGAAATGACCTGAAGTGTTGCTATCGGCATCAGTTACAAAGCTCCACACCCTCAAACATGGACATCCTTGTAGCTCTAACCACACTTGGAATGCAGGACGAGATTCTTCTCGTATGAAATGAGCCATCTTGTCTTCAACTGATCAAAAATCACCTTAGAACCAATATGGCAGATAAGAGACTGAAGAGTCAAACAATAATTAGAATGCACAGAGAACGTGCTCTTTCCATTGAACTTGATGATACTGTTGATGGGTTCATTACTAAGTTTCCAAATACAAGGTTAACATTGGTTTGGAGGATTGTTCTGGTTGGTGTCTTGGTAAGTTCATGTTTTTGATCATTATTCATCAATCCACTTTTAAAGGGACTTGTTATCCCCCCCCCAAAAAAACACAATTGCTAGATATGCTAGAATTGTCATAAACCTTCTGATCCTTTCCAAGATCTGCAAGTATTTTAGGGCTTAAAAACTCAATACAAAGTACTTTTTGAAACCCAACATTGATTCAACGTAACTTAGCATGCTAAAACTGGGTGGGTGGAGGAATAAGGAGTCCCTTTAAAATTACACATGAGCATAAGATGTCTTGTTTTGCCCCCACCCCATCACAAAATTTTGGTGCTGTTGCCATCACTGACTAGGAGAAATTAGTTAGTTTCTGATATAGTATTTTGAGTAAGGTTCAAGAATTGAGCTTTCATAACAATTATCTTAATATCAGAAAAAAAAAGTAATTTAAAGCTTTGATCATGATAGCAAACTACAGAAAAATTAATCAGCTGTATTAAATTTAAAAAGATGTTTATAATTTCAAAATACTGAATATAAAATTAATACTAACCATCTTTACTGCTCATATGACATTTAGGATATTGCTATTATATGCATCCAACTCAAAAATTTTTTACTTACAATTATTATATTAAAAAGAGTATAAACAACTAAGAATGAGATATAAAAAGAACATGCCATGATACAATTTTTTGCCACAATTAACATGGTATCATCTGTGTTCTTATTTTTAGCTGTTTATACTTTAACTTTTAAATATATGGGATTTCTCTTTTACATACAATCATTACAGTGGTACATATTTTTCTTGAGTATTGACTTAAATCATATTATTGATATGATTCCTTATTCGTTTCTATCAAGAAATAAAGGAAAATGTGTGATTTACCTATACTTCTGTGTATAAGTATTTTCATGTGAAGTTTATTTTGACATAATTATGTGTTTTTTTTGTGTTTGCTAACTTTAAGATCTCATAAGAGAAACAGAAAGTAATAGCAGTCTTTTGTCAACAGGTGTGAGGCTAATTGGTCTCAAGTAATGAATGTGTGCTGATAGAAATTAACTTCACATTCAAGAATACAGTTTGTGTAAGATCCAAGATTATAAGAAAAAGAGTTAGTGACTCCACATCTGTTGACAGACAATCAGCCAACATGAAAGCAGACAAATCTCAAAATCCATGGCCATGCAATTCTCCTTAACTTATCAAATTTCTATCTGTGTTCCTTAAATGTTCAGAGAGAGTAATATCTCTTAATTTCTACTCCTTACAAATAGTAAATGTGTTAACCAGTTGATTTATTTTTATACAAAGATGATTTTTACAGTAAAACATGTAAGGTTTAGCTCATTTTCAGTGACCAATGATGTAGTAATAAGCTACAGTTTAACTTAAATGACCATAAATGCCTTACTTTAATGATATTATTTAATAAAAGTGTTATCACCACTAAACCAAAATCAATGTGATGTCCTCCCAAAATTTAAAATACTATGAAACAGTTCTTGTGCTTTGATTGTTAACTCCAATTAAGCTTTGTTTCTCACTTCTATATAATCAGATTATTAATTTATTTTGCCAGGTTATAGCTTGGCATGAGATAAAAACATTACATGTTTATAAGTAAAACCACTGACAGAAGAAAATGAAATAATGACACAAGTTTGAGTACCATGAATATCACAAGAATATTCTTTGTTACTTAAGCTTTATAAATAAACTAAACTTTCTTATAAAAGTGAACAAATTAATATTATTTGTGAATTTTCGCTTTTTTCACCAAAATGTGTAATATCAAGTGAAGAAAAGAATCTATTATTAACTGTAACATTCTTTATATCGTAATACCATATTTTATAAATGTTATATTATATAACCACTATACAGTTAAAGCCTTAAAATAAATGAGCATGGTGTACAAACTTTCAAATCCTTTTTTGTTGTGCCTCTGTCTATAGCAATAACTCCTCCAAACTCAGAAGACTGTTCAGTCATTCTGTGGTGACTTTTTTTTCTGGTACTGAATTCCTTTGCCATCATTTGTTCTAACCTACATAGTCAAAAAAGTGTTAAATAAGAGATGAAGAGCAAAATTATATTAAGATAACAGAAAACTGCTCAACCAAAAAATAAACCACAGCCTTAAATAAATATGTAAAACATAGTACAAATAAATCAACTTCTGTATGAAATGAAAAACAGATCAAACTCACAAATACATCAACTTCTGTACAAAATGAAAAACAGACCAAATTCACAAATATTTTTACTTCTGTATGAAACAAAAACAGATCAAACTCACAAATACATCAACTTCTCGATGAAGTAAAAAAACAGATCAAACTCTGTATTCATCTCACTTCCCTACATAACTCCTTTCTATGTTACTACATCAGCCCATCTTCACAACACTTCTGTTTGAGGTAATACATATTTTACATTTATACTCATATCATTAATGTATCTATACAACAGTTCAATAAGAAGAACATCATCCTCCAACCTTTGCATTCACATCATTTGTCCCAATTTTGTTTGATAAACTATCATATCACTATTATAATATATTTTTGTACATCAATTCAACACTGTTATATGCAACACATCAGTCTACTTCAGTAAGTACATCACTTACATCTCAAACTTAATATACACTTAACATAATATATTAATAATATTTGTGTTAATATTATTTGCATCTATATTTCAACACTTTTGTGTGAAGAATTATGTCAATTATATTTGTGTTTACATCAATTATCCTTATTTCAACATTTCAACTCCCTCTATCTCTGTTATTTCAAGTATTACATCAAAATACCTCTTTATTCTCTAACCTTCAATTGATCACAACATTTTTATATAGAGCAAAGTATCAGCCTACCTCTATTTTTAACTCTTTTAGATCTTTACTTGGATTAACAAGAAAGTTACAACGTCCTCGTTCATCACTTGTATCATCTGACTTTTGGACTACCACAGATCTTCCTTTCTCATCTTTAACACTAATAATAGCAGGAATACCTGGAGCTGGTTTACCACTAACAAAGGTTATGTCCACCTAAAAGTATAAGTTGAATGTAATATTAGTTATTAAATTATGGAAGTGATTTATCATTTCAAATCAAATGAATTTCTAAAGTTTTCTTTTCTCCATTTAAAGAATTATTTTAGCATTAGTGTGAAGCATGAGCTTTTATTTTGTGGCAATGTTAATGTGAGCCATGGACTCTCAGATTCAGAGCCCAGCATGCTAACCACTAACAATGTCCAGCCTTTCCAAGCATTGAAGTCCATGTCATTGATCAAGGACTATCTTTACACAATTTAGAAATAACATTTAGTGTTATGAAAAAAACTTAATATTATAAAGCATTACAGAATTACTGAAAATTGAATTACTTTCTGTAATTTTTTTTTCTTCAAACTAAATGTACAAACATGTCACTGATGAATTGCAAAACTTTACAAAAGCATATTTACTGGCATTAACTTTGGTAATAGATTAATAGTGGAAAAAAGTGGAAAAACATGATTGCAGTTGTTGTAATAATGTCTTTCTTAATGTAGCCAAATGCCTCATTTTGTAATTAATGATGCACATTACTGGGCTAACAAGAATACAAATCCCCCTATCTACTGTCTAGTAAAAGGAATAGCCTTGAAGAAATTAGTAAGGAAAATATATAATCTCAAAACTAACTACATTAAAATAATAGTTTCAAGCTATCTTTACATAATATTTATTTATTGCAAGCTTACGAGTTCACTCATAATCACTTCTTTATGAAATGAATATTTTAAATCTTAAATGACAGGTACAATGACAACAATGAAAATGTTATTATAATATTGTTAGTTAATGCCCTAATCTTTAAAAATAACAATTATTATTTTAAAAATACGAAAGTGGCTAATGAATGAATTTGAAAGTTTGCAACTGATAATTATATATAATGTGCAATTAGTTTGAATGTACTACTTTATTGACTTTCTCACAATTAAAATGATACTCAAAACTTTTAACTACAATTTCTCTGTGATATTGTCTACCAGAAAAAGCTTCTCAGTGTAGTTGAATGTGTAAAGATAAAATGCTTTGAAAAATAGTATGCTTTTCTTATTTTTCATTAAGTTCATATTCCTTTAAAATGTTAATGCAAAGGAGTGAAAACCTTGCTCTATTTAAGATACTATTAAGATCATATACGTACTTATGTTATATGATATACTTCTTAAATATACGGTAGCAACTGCTTTGCAAAATCACACTCACTGGTATTAATGTCGTATATCCAGGCATAAAATTATTGAGGCAACGCTTGAATGACACATCATAAGGAGAGAGTGTAAAGATGCCATTTTCATTTATTCCAGTTTCTCGTTGTCCTGTAGCCTGTTCCAACACAGACACTTCCACAAAAAGATGGTTTCCTTCCAAGTCAGAAAAACTCGATATTTTCCCATGCTTGATAAACTCATTCACATCAATTTGATAATCCACTTTACCATCTTGAAGCTAAAACATTAATAGAAAATTATGTCAAACACTACTTATGTTATTTATAAATGTAAATTATTTGTAACAATAGAAAACTGTACAACCCTTTGATCTTACTATCAAAATATAGTTGGCTTACCTCTAAATGAAACTATAGAAAATCCACTGATCTAAACATTTCAATCATGTTATGTAATCTAAGATAATAAGTTATATTTCTAAAACAATAAACAATAATGCGATATTACTATTAACTAATCTTAATAATAAAAGTTCCTTTCAAAATTCACTTTAAAAACTTTATGCAAATAGGTTCTATAATTTACAAAAATATAGTGTATGAACATACAATATTAACCAATCAATTTAATATTGAATGTACTGTAGTAAAATCTGCAAAAAATACTAAGTTTATAAAAACTGCTTTTTACTTAATTACTTTCATTAACTTGTGATTTTTAGTTTGTCTACATATGGACAATAACACACTAGAAAACAAAAAAGACTTGAAAAGAGAATCGGACAACATAGATATAGGAACCTTGTGATGTTTAGTTTGTCTACATATGGACAATAACACACTAGAAAAAAAAAGACTTGAAAAGAGAATCGGACAACAAAGATATAGGAATCTTGTGATTTTTAGTTTTTCTACATATGGACAATAACACACTAGAAAAAAAAAAGACTTGAAAAGAGAATCGGACAACATAGATACAGGAATCTTGTGATTTTTAGTTTGTCTACATATGGACAATAACACACTAGAAAAAAAAAAGACTTGAAAAGAGAATAACAGAATAATGGCAATAACAGAAGAATTAACATACCTGTTTATCATATAGTGTGCCAATAATAATACTGTTTCCTGTTCTTAACTTCACCCCAAATTTGAAATTTGCTGTACCATGCACGGGTTCACCATACACGTACCTATTATTCAAAATTAACATAGCATTGTTAAATTTTCAAAATTCTAAGCCACAAATTCTGAAGGATTTCTTTCTCTTATAACAGAAGAAATGTAATAATACTGAAAATATATCAAAAAGGCTACAGAGATTATTGTCCTAATTCAATTACTTTGATGCTTTTTTATATAGGTAATACAGTTGTATTTACATAATAAGAAAGACCAATAAGCAACATTTAATATACGACAAATGATGGTTGTGCATATTTTCATAATTTAGCCAACAACAGTAAACTGAGGTTAATAATAACAGTAAATGAATATAGTTAAAAAGTAAAACATGGATTAACTGATTTTAGTAGTTTTAAACTATTTCAATTACCCAGTCACAGATCTAGTTTTTGGAAAATAAAACAAAATCTATAATATAATCATAACATAAATTTCTGTATGTTTACATGTACAACTGTATGAGAAAAACACTGTATCTCAAAAGAAAAAAATAGATCTAATACCCATGATTTATTTTGCAAGCTGAATGAAAACAATGAGAAGTTGTGAGCTGAAAGTTTGAAATTTTGTTAGCTATAGAGAAAAAATTTGTGAAAATAACATTTCTTTATTTTAATACTGATCATTTATCATACTGATGTAAAAAAAAAAAGAGTAACGATGAAATTATGTAAGTTAGTCACGTTTAAAGTGACTGGAAAAATTCATCCACTTCAAGTAGTTAAGGGGTTAATAAATCACCACCAATATCTTTATAAGATCAAGCTGACCAAGATTCTTAAAGGTACAAGCTCAAGCCACATGGATAAAAAAAGTATTTAGAGATACATATTTCTTTTAGAAGCATCCTTAAAATTCTACATGCTTTTGAGATAGCTCTTGTTTCAATAAGGTAAGACTCACATGTAAGTGTTTGGTTTATTTCAGTCTCAAATGAAATTTGTACAAGATGCACAGACGAAATAGAACCCAAGATACTCTCTCCTTGAGATATTTTTGAAACAAGAAAGAGATATGCCTCCAACAACATCAACAATTTTAATAAAATACTCCCCAATTCCTACTAGAGGAAAGTTTTTAAAAAATGTTACTAAAGACATTAACTTTAGAAGCTCAATAATTTCAGAAGTTATTTCAGTTTGACAACTCTCCATTATCACCAACTGAAGGACTGCACAAGGTACCTTGGACTGATAACAATGAAAGTAGCCTTGAGAGAAGGGCTTGAAACTGGATTTTTTAAGAACACAAAGTATTTTTCATACATAAAATGAACCAAGCAATGAAACAGAACTTGATAGGGAAAGCAGTGAAATGACCAATTTCACATTCAAATGTTGTTGAAGATAAAGAGGGTGTAAAGTAGACAATTCCTCATTGTAACACCACCACCACCCATTAAAAGTTTATGACATGATACTCGTAACTCGTTTTGGGATTAATAGAGTAAAATATCAGCTAAAATCTATCATATTAATGATACTGGTTAAACAGGTCATGACAAGTAATTCATTGTTGTGGTTAGAAGACACATTTCTTAAACTGTCTTCATTAACATGAAAATTCCCATCAGCCATAGCTGGCAACATTAATGAGGCAAAGAGGTAGCAGTTTCTTCCAAAAATGTACAGCAACTACTGTTATTATATCAAAACTTCAAATTTCTTAACTTGAAGTATAGAACAAGATTATCTAAGTGAGAAAGCTAGCACTCCAAGTCAGAATCATCTTTGTCCTAATATAAAACAGACCTAACTCTGGCTTTAGCCCTATATAATTGTTTTGCTAAACAGTGTTGAAAACCAGAACACTCACTTTGTCTTATTTTGTTTCAAAGTGAAGTCTGTTTTCTTTTAGTTTATTATACAAAATTAAAAAAAGTTTTGACTTACTTGGCATGTACATTTCCACTGATTTTTTTTGTACTTTGTAAAATAATTTCAGGAGCTGTTACATCAACAGAGAATGTTGGCAAAACTGGAAAAAATTGTTTGAAAATGCATACTGGTGATTAAATGCTTTTGAAATAACTCAATCACATCATATTCAGCATAGACATGATCACACAAATAAGTTTGAAAAAATATTTACAATTAAAGACAGCCAGTAAAATATGATTATATTACGAAAAATATTCACTACAATCTAAAAGATACTAATACAAAATGATAATAAAACAAGGTTACAAAAAAACCTTTATTGATATCTTTGAAAAGTTAAAAATATATATGTTGAAAGCATTTTTTTTCTGACTGATAAAACATCTCCAATTAGTACAGCATTTTCTTTTTTATAAAAAGGGCCAAAAATCTTTTAATTTATCTGTAAGTAGAGTGCAAGCTATGTTTCAAAGAGGAATTGTCAAATACTTCAAACATGAAGTATTGCATATGTTCCTGTAAGGCTCACATTAGCCGATTTATTTATTGTAACATAGGTATCAGCACATTTTACTTCTCACACCTCAATTTATGAATAAACTAAATGACAAACCAAGCTTACTTCTATTATAGATCCTAACTAAAGTTTCACAAAAATACAAAAAAATGTTTTAAGTATCAAACAAAAATATTATGCTTAATTGCCTAAAATTTATTTTTTAATTAAAATATGACCCATTCTTCTACCAGCTTTATGTAGTCAGGAGTCTTATTTATTCGATCTTTTAAATTCTGTTGTTAGATTGTTCACTGTGCAGCTGTTTAACTAGAGAAGTGAACAGAACACATTTTAAATTACAGCTATCCCCTCTACAGTTTGTATTTTGTTATGTGCACCTATGGAAAATGAAAACTTAGCAAAAAAAAAAGAGTTTTAACATGATTTTGGATATAAAATTTTAGATGTTACATACAAATATTAAACTACATTTGTGGTATTTGAATATAACATGCATTGCTATCTTTTTTTTTGTTATTATTTTATATTTATTTTGAATTTATTTTCTGTTATGTACATGCATCACATAACACATGGCCAATACAGTTAAGCTGAATTCATTCTGAGTTACCCTTATTTCTTTGTTGTTCTCAGAAATGGATAATACCTGTTACCAACAAGAGAGGTTATTGCTCAATTCAACACATTGTGTAAGGCTGTTGACAACAGTGTCCTTCAATGGTTGTTCAAGTGATACCTAGAGGTTACAGCCTCACTTATGTTGTAATAAGAATCATTAGTCACATGGGTTACACACACTGCCCTGGGTAAATGCAACATTTCTTCCAAACTAAAGAATGTTGCCTTTTGTAAGTCTTGAATTTCATCTTCACTTGGTCAGTGTGATCTGGAATATCATTTCAGTTAGTGTAATCTGGAAATTTGCCTTCAGTTGTTAGTCCTGTGATCCAGTAAAGGTAATTGTCCCATGTAAGTAACAGCAAGTAAACACACAGTGTTTGTGTATAATAAAGATTGTTCATTTTGTATTACATTTTGTGTGCAGTCTCTTTATTTAATTTTACATTAACTCAGTAGTAAGATTTAGTATCACTCTTACTGATATCTTGGACAAATAAATCTACTGTTATCTCGTAGACCTATTCAATATAGCTGTAACATTAAAGTTCACACACCTAACAACAGTATTTCTCTCTTGCAAAAAACAATGAATATATTTTTCAACTTATTAAAAAATTGATTCAAATTTATTTATTGGCATTTTTCTTCTGAAATGCAAGTTTTTGCTTTTATCAACACCCTAAAAGCCCTTAATTCCTTAGATAAGTTTATATTACCATAAACAGTAAGCTACAAAAAGTAAGATTTCTCAGTAATCAAGACCTTTTTAGTTCTCTTACAATGATAACTACCAAATAATGGAATGTAGATGTGCAAAGCTTCATTTGTGGCATGCTATATTTTTTTTTAAAATCACCTCTTCAGGTAATTTTGCATATATTCCATTCCAAGCTGTTAGAAAAAAGGCTAAAAGCTTTGGCCTACCTAAAAACAGTGGAAAAACTTTTTCTAGTTTTGGTGGTTTCCCAAGCACTAAACAAATTAGAATTATTAAAACTCAACCACTGAACAAGGAATTTACTTTATATGGTGTCAATAATGGAATATAAAAATCTAAACACTTACTACATCTACCATTTAATGGTAGAATGAGTAGAAAAACATAACACAATTTATGAAGTAAATTTTAAACCTACTGGTTGATAGAGGTATTAAACAGATGATAAGCACTAATCAATTAACAGAAAAATGTTTATTTGTTCCTCTTAGAGCAAAGCCACATTGAGCTATCTGATGTGCTCACCATGGGAAATTGAACCATGGAATTTAGCATTGTAAGTCATTAAACTTACTGCTGTCTTACTGGGGGACCAATTAACAGCTAAGATACAAGCTTTGTAAATTTTCCATTATCAGTAAAAATACTATATAAATAAAAATATCATTTTATACTTACCATATTCTTTAACCTCAAACTTCACAGTTGAATTATATAACAGCTAAAACAAATATTAAAAAATGTGTTAGTCATTTCATAGTTAAGAACTGAATATCTCAAAAAAAAATAAGAGGATTTACATATGTAATGAGGTGTATGCCAATTTATAAGTTAGATATCAAAAACAGTTCACTTCTCTTGTGTATGAATTAAAGGGAAAACTGCAATCTGTTTACAGGAGCTTCATACATTACTTATTCTAAAGTTATAACAGATAATTGCTCTAACATTCCTCAAGAGAAGCTTGTAATAATCCCCCCTCCCCAAAAATGGTTAATTTCACATGAAAAATGCTGTGAAGAAACCATACAACTTTTACACTACTGCTACAAAAGTTGTGCTGTAGTTCTAGTATTATCAAAATGTGATACTTCAGTACAAATATACAGCATATTTATAGAGCCTAACTATATAATATAATTTTTCTTAATCATTACTAAATACTACTAAAGTAACTAAAGAATATTTTTTGTAATAAATGATTTATTGATTTTATATATACTGCTATTATCTTCAAAAAATCCAAAACTTTCTTTATGAACAGTATGAAAACTCATGATTGGCCAATTTTTTCTTTGCATGTCAGAAAATGAACTTTTAGTTTCTGTGAAAGAATATTAAAAATAGTATATAAATAATTTAATTGCATGTGAACGTAGCACACATTTCATAATAAAACACCAGGCCAATAGTTAGTTATGAAATTAAAATTACTTTGTGTAATTTTTAAAGCTTTTCCTACTAGTACTTTAACAATCTACACAGTACCCAAAAAAAAGTGAGCTATGGATCAAGGACATATGAATGAAGTAATTAGTTATGAATCTATTCAGTGTCTAAAACGTGTTAAGTTACGGAGCCACAAAGGAGTGTATTATATTAATTCATTTAGTATTCAAGAAGTTATACTTTATAAATCCACTCAGTATCCGAAATTTAACAAATTATAAATCCATACTAAAATGTTATGCCTCTTTAGCTCATACAAGATCCAAGAAGTAATGAATTTACCCAACCTTCAAATAAACGTGTTATAAACTGACATAGTTAGAAGTTATAGGCAAGAGATAGTAATGATTTCAAATAATACACGTATAGCAAACTGATCTTTGGAAGTGACAAAATAATATACCAAATATATGACGAGCAGCACAATGTTCCAAGAACTAGTTTCCAAATCTCACAATATACAAAAAAAATATTCACGAATCTATAAAATGTCAAAAAAGTTCCAAATTAAACTACTCTATTAATTGAAAGCTGGTACATGAATAGAATATATACACACAGTTGGAGATAAAATGGATTTCCAGTTGACATAAACTGAAATGTGTTTCTGCATGTTTCAGTTGAAAATCATTTAATAACTTGTTGAATTTGAAGATGTTTCCTGGATTGTAATTTCTAAGATAATGAAGAACTAACGTTGTTAAACCGGTAATCCATCACCTACCAATCCCAATTGATGGTAGGTTTAATCACAAAATGGAATTCTACAGGTGAAGTAACATATCTGGTATGCATTAATATTGCTTTACCTATATTTATAGAAAGCTATATTTCCTCATTATGTAATTTTTCAAACTGAAATGTATATGATTAAGCTTTGCTTATATAAAAAAACAATGCAGATTTTTTCACTGAGAATGTTATAATTTAGATCAACTTTTGACTCAGCACTTGTTTAAAACAAGATTTTACATAAATATCTAAATATGTTTACTGAACATCTTAAATCAGTTTTCTGCATCCTTTAGATACACCATAAGAAAACATATCTTGTATTGGAAGTAATTATGGAAACAGTGAATAAAATGGGTTTAATATGCAAATATTATGGTATTGCTCTCCCTGCAGTATATGAAAATGAACTACACCAATGTCATAAGTTGATAGTTTACATTGTGACTAGCCATCATCCAACCAAACAGCCAGCAAAATGTCTATAAAAATACATGCAGTCATAATCTGTCCAATAGTAGTATGAATCCACTCTTCGCTCCCAGGTCTGAACTGTCAGATAACAAGAATTTAGAAATCAAAGTTCAGGATGGTGAAAGCTACTCCTCAAAACAAATTGAGGCCAAATTTCACGTTCCACATAGTGCTGTCCAGAAATTCTAAAGAGAGTAAATGAAACTAATACTTTCAATAATAGAAACAGTTGATACAGAAAGCTCAAACTCTTCAAAAGTGATGTTCTGTAACTCAGAATATGCTCTTTACATGATATACAACTATTTTACTTCTAGAACAGTAAGATACACATTAGCATGAAACAGGTGTGTAGCTGTTCAATAAACACTGCTTAGGAGAAAGAACAAAAGCAAAAGAGTAAAACAGGTATTAGACTTTGAGCAAATGGATGAGCAAAGACTGTCTGGCAATGACTAACAGTAACTTGTTCAACGACAGAGAAGAAAAATGGTAGCATATTGGTAGTATGGCCAATGCTCATCTGCAGCAAAACATGCTGAAGAACCAATACAAGTATGGGCTTCATGTCAGCCAATGTATCATAAATATACACAAAATCAATGGCACTCTGAAAGCTGACAAGTAAAATCATATTCTTATCCATCATGTCATTCCTTGAGGAACAAGACCTGTTGGGGTGAGTTTCATTTTCCAGCAACAAAGTGATTTGTGCAGTTAATAGTTATGTAATCCCCCCCCCCAAAAAAAAGGTTAACTGAATGCTCACAACCATAACATGGCCAGCACAAAGTACTTATATGAATACTGAGAAGGTCAAATGGCAACCAAGTAACTATAGATAAACTTACAGTATCATAAAAACAAAATGTACTGCTCTGTTTGAAGCAAATACAAAATATTATGCACTATACAACTTATTTGCTTTTTCTATAGTAACGTACAATACTAATAATAAATTGATCATTTAGCTGCTGTTTGGTTGCAATTACTCATTGTTTGTGTCTCCTGCAATACACGACTTCTATATGCATATCACCTCTGCATTTACATTCTTATTTATAATCCTGTATATTGAATACTAAGGTGAATATAAGATTATACAGTGTAACCAACATTTACATTGAAAAAGTAATGTAAGGCTCCAGAATCATTAACAAATGGGATCATTGAAAGGCTCTCCAGCCCCACACAAGAACTTCAAAGTGAATGCTTGTCAAGATAATTCACTGACATGCATAGGAAATAATTGTGGTTATTATAGTAACTAAGTCACACAAATTATCGCCCAAATGTTAAACTATTTGTTGTAATGAGCATGGAAAAGATTTAACTGTACTATAACTATCTTTGTTTACTACATGTATCAAATGTATAAAATTATTTATATAAAGTTTTTAGTCCATTTATTTAAATAACAAAATTCAAATAACCTGCATTAAAAGCATTTGAAAAATAAAATCTGCGTACATTTTTGCAAATAACTATAATGATAAGAAACTAATTATTTAACAGAAAAACCAATTCATGCACTAAGGTTTCATCATCTAAAACTTAAAATAACTTTTAGATCAACTACTTAAGAAGGATTTATTTTGAAATAAATTGTTGCAGTGTATGAAATTCTGGTTATCATTTGAGCAGAATAATAATTTTTTTCTGAAACTTCCTGTCACCTTAGAATTTTCAATGAAAATTTCCTGTGATACTCCCTCTGGCTTCTACAAAATATGGCCTGCAAGTTTTTTATTTTATTATATTTTTTCCCAAAGAAGCTTCCTGAAGCAAAATAAATTTTGTGAGAGATTTCACTTGCTGGTTTCCTGCAAAAGCCTTGACATCCTGTCTCATTTTTTGTCACCAAGGGTACTGTGGTAATGGTAATAATATCATCCTACCTTTGAGTATGTTGAAATGTATGCAATAATACTTAACCTTCTTTCTGTGTCCTAGGACTGAATCACAAACTTAGAAAGGTGTAGGGTAATAATAGGTTATACTGCTAATAGTTTTTAATATGTATTTTAAAATGTAAAGCTATTATGCTAACATAAAATTCAGGATTTTTGGAAAATACAGCAAAAGTCATGACTTATTTCTTAAGATACAATATATTAAAAAAGCATTTACATGCTCTAACATGCAGATATGGTTTTCATTTTGCAATGGGCCAAGAAAGGCTTAACGGTTAGCATGCCATACAGTGAATGTGAGAATGCAGGGTTCATATCTTATTGCCACAAAATCACGCTTTGCACTTTGGGTGCTTTATAAGAATGGTGTTCAATTCTCACTATTTGATTAGAGTAGCCCAAAAGTTGAAAATAAGTGCTGTTGTTGAGTAGCTACCTTTTGTCTAGTCTGTCAGTTCAAAATTAGTGATAGCCAGCACAGACAGCCCTTGCACAGCTTTACACAAATTTCTGAAACAACTTATTCTTTTTATACCATAAAGAGTCTTCTCGGGCCAAAGCTCAACGAATGAAGCAATATGAGGCATATGCCTAACATTAGTTATAGTTAGGAAACACTCACAGGTGAAGAATAATTGATCAACTTTCCATATTGCTAGACTGTAGCAATGTGCTACATATTTTTATAACTTAAAGTAAACCTGTAATTTGAGATTACTAAAAACCTGAAATGTAACTAAAACATTAATAATTGCTTTGTTTACATTTTCATTATAAATCAGTACATGGGAGAACAGAAATTTACATGTTGTGTTGTGACACTTTCACTGTTGGTCAGTTTGGTTCAATTCACCAATTTCAGTTTTTTATTCATTTTTAACTAAAGGAGAGGCTAGATAGTTAATATCAAGTGTTCTTATGACATATACTGATCCATCATGGTCAACACTATATTTCAATCACCCAGTAGATAAGTGTTTCAAAAAGTGTTTTACTAGTAATTACTATTGTGTTTGCCGCTTAGCTAAGTTATTAGAACACTTGTTTGGTACTCAAAAAGTCTCGGGCTCAATCCTGCTCACATATGATACAAAAATGGTATTATCAATGATATATTTCTATATATTTTCAGACAAATGAGAGTTACTGCAAAAAAATTTACACAGCATAGATGACAGTTCACAGCAATTACACTCTAGAAAACTGTAAAACATGCTTCAAGGTAATTGTGCCTAAAAACTAGTCCAACTTAAAATAAGTGATAAATATTTCTCGATTTAAAGTTTAAATAAAAACCAAAATTTAAACATTTATATGCACTCACCTTGACCCTAAATATATAAACATTTGGCCTAGCTTTTTGTTTTTTTACCCATGGCAAAATTTTCCACAGTTATAAATTAAATTATGCAATTAAAATTGATTTCATACCTAACTGAAAAATTAGTATAATGGTTTATAAGTTGCAGTATATTGTAAATACTATTCACAAAGTAATAAGCAGAAATGTGTCATGATTCATCATAACATTGAGATGTGGTGAGTTATAAATCCAAACTCTTTCAAAAGTAGTAACTTATAAATCTATCAATTAACAAAAACATTATTTATAGATCCTCATGCTACTTCAAAGTGATATTCCATGGTTTTTTCCCCAGTTTTGATTATCTGTTTAAAATACAATAGCTAGAATGGCCAAAATATAAATATAAAAACTAAAATATCTAAGTTTTTTTCTGAAACTTGTAAAACATGAAGTTGAAAAATCTCACATTACAGATCATAATGAAAAACAACCACCATTTTTTCATAATTATCCAGAAGATGTTAATAAACTGCAAAATAGTCTTTTTTCACTGCTAGAAAGTTCGAACAAAAAAAGAACAGCATTTGAAGATTAAAACAGAGAATAGCTAAGACAAAAGTGCTAAAATTTGTGATGCTTTTTTTTTCCATATTTAGGAACTGTATTTTTAGGTAATTTTTACAAAATTAAAATGCACGTATATTTAGTGTAATAGGTTTCTGACTAGAAATGCAAGGAGTAACATTTAGAGCCACATGACTATTCTGAATATGTAGAATATTTCTAAACTGAGTAATATTGGAATTTGGAAGTAATCCATATAAGATATAAAAAACTGTATAATAATTACGCTTACAAGCGATTACACTTAAACAGGTTTTACATAATTTTAAAAACTGACAGAATATAAATGAATCTGCATAAAAATGATTTATACAGAAGGTAGATATCTTACATCATAGCCGTATGAAACAACTACGGACCATTCACCAAAGAGAGGATAGGGTGGAAAACTGTAATCAAATGTATAAAACTCTGTCCTTCTTCCAACTTCCTTGATTTTCCAACTCTGATGCTCTACTGTGATATCCTGAGGGTTCTTCACTCATAAAAAAAAAAATCACAACATACTGGTATAGGAAATGTGAAAAATGTATTAGATGCATTAAAGCTGATCCACTGAATTTATTTTTTCACTAATATACTTATCCAACTATAGACAGCGTTATGAATAACTTTATAGTAGTAACTTTGTGTTACTATATAATAATTGGTCCCATTTGTGAAATACTGAAATATCATAAACAATTTATAAATACAGCAACACAGCTGTAGCTTAATATCTGTATTTTTAATACATATTTCATGATATTTGCAATACTTATACACAAATATTAACTTTCAAGTCATGGCATACGATTATACTTTAACATTACTGTTTATGAGAAAGATTGTCTAGCTCTGAAAAAGTACAATACATGTGAAAATTCAATAAGACACAACAATAATTAACTAATTACATAAAAATATCTTTATCATCACAAATAAATAATAACATTGAGAATACAAATGAAATAAAGAATGTATAACTCACCTTAATTTGCAAAGTAATCCTTTTATTTTCTGGTATCAGATCTTCATTTAAGGTGATAATTCGCATGTGTACTGTAAGAAAGGAAATGTATTATGTTTGGATAGAGATGCAAAGCTTAGGAATATGTGGTTCATTTGAGGTACTATGGGAAAGGTTTTTAGACATGTCTTTCCTACATATTAATGAACATATTTCCATATTAAAGGTTTTTCTGAGACGAATGAAATGATCTGAAGACATTAGTTAGGTAAATTTTACCAAAGATCCATTCAATAATGAAAATTATTTCTTTTTATAGCTCAGTGAACTTTAAATATGTCAGTTGAAAGTAGAAGCATGAGAGTGAGTCACAATTAATTTTAATTAAGTTATTAAGTCAGTCATCATATTTAGGGAGCAGCATTGCCTAGTGGGTAAGATTTTGTACTCGTAATTGAAAGACGACATATTCTAGGCATGCCCAGGATATGTTGTTGTATCCTTGAGCATATAACGGATATAATGGATACTAGTGGGTTTAACCTGCCTTTGAGTGACATACCATTCAAAGGGAATGTGTCATTATTCTCATCTGTTTTTGTCACAAGAAACCATAGTTACACAATAGCCTTATGTGCCATGCAAAGGCAAGATAAGGATTATCTTACAGGTTACTTATGGTTGTGCTTTTAATTGTAACTAATAAAATTCTTAAAACCTGAAGGTAAAGTTAATTACTTATAGATCATATGTCTTTTTTCCGTTATTTCATAGTGGAATTTCATATATATCTAACTATATTGGAAGTTTAGTTACAATCCCTTTTCTATGCAAATATATATAGATATTAGCCTGCTATCAATGTCCACTTAAAACAGCATCCTTCTTCTCAAACCCAAAGTTTTTTGTCTCTATGTTATAGCATAACATATTATACCTCAGATATTTAAAAATAAACTTTTTTATAGCTTATTAAACTATGTATAATAAAACATTAATTTAGCTTAGTGAAAAATGTGGGAGACTTAAAATTGATGTTAAGCTCAACTAGCAACAAATTATACAATCCACTAAAATGTCAAGTGCATGTGCAAGCTTATTTTCTACTTTAAGATAGACATTTCAAAATACATAAAATGTATATAATTATATCTTACCAATTACTATATAAAAAAAAAAAATTTTAAATTTCATTTTATTGAAACATCTTCATGATGAAATGCTAATCTGCTAATGACCAAACATCTATTTGTTTGTTCGTTTTAGCACAAAGCTACAAAATAGGCTATCTGCACTCTGTCCACCACAGAGAACTGAACTCTAATTTTAGTGTTGTAAATTCATAAACTTACCCATTCCAGGACCCAAACATAAAAAATAATAATAAAACAACAATTTCCTTCTTTCAACTATAAAATTTATTTAACAATTCTGAAATTATTAAGAATAAAATACTATGGCATTTTTCATGATAGTATTTGCCTAAATCTATCTAATTCCTTCATTTTGTTGTAAATTTCTAATATTACCTGAGTATCTTTTTTTTGACTTCAAAGAGAAATTGTTGATAACTATTGAAATACACACACAAATTAACTAAAGTTTTTAGAAAATTGTCTTTATACAAAAAACAAATACCCACTTAACATATATTTCTAAAATTAAAGTAAATTATTTACCTTTAAGTAAACTAGAAGTAATTACTTTAATGTACTGTGTAGCTAAGTTTGTGTACATTCAAGAGAGGAAGTGTGTGTCTGGAAATTATAAGGAGCAACATAAAAGATCCCTTGCAAAAACAAAACTATCAGGAAATTTGAAAATTTTGGTAAGCTAGGTCCTTCGATTGTAGGAAAAAAGTCACAATTTGAAAATTTATGTTTATAAAAGTTCATAGAAGTTAAATTATTGAATTATTCCACTCATATATACCTGACAGATGCAATTGACTCTGCATTGTATATAAATATGCTTGTCAAGTTAACAGACTGTTTGTATTTTTGAATATTAGACATAATACCATGATGTTATGTAAGTTGTGTTATTAATGTCATGTACCTTCATATAATGTTACATATCATGCTTCATGCTATTATTGTAATAAATAACTAGCTTAAAAATGTTTTTCATTGTATCACTTTAAATTGTGTTCGGGTATTCAAAAACTTATGACTTTTTTTTTCCTAGCCAAAATTGTGACTTTTTTCTTGTTACTTTATTTCTAACCACTGGTCCTTCATAACACAACCAAAAATGTGGAAGGAAAAAGTTATAAAAAAAGACCAAAATCGTGGTGGACCCTTAATATAATCATAATGCACAAAAGCAACAGAATTAAGTGGCTTGCATTAACATTCTTATTTGAATAAAGATTAAATACCACAACAATTATTTTATAAGGCTTATACTTGCTTGGCCTAATGTGTCATGTCCTTCTGCATAATTTTCTATATAAATGACATTTGATGAACTGTAAAAATAAGATAACACACTAACAAAAATAGGGTAAAACTTATGACAACACTACTAAAAATGTCTTAACATTTCTACCAAAAGGTTTACAACCTAATGACAAAACTACCAGCAGTTTTTCATTTACTTAACACTTATATTAAAGTATTTACTAACAGTTGACATGACTAACAAACTTTGGTTACTAGTCATTTCAACTGAGGTGTAAAAGAGAAATGTCCTGAGATGCTCTTTGACATTTCACGTGTTTTTGGAAGTTCCTGGGTTATCATAAAAAAAAACAAGTGTGGTGATTCACATGCACAAATGAATTTTCACTTGTGAATTGCATGGTTGATTTAAATTATGAGATATTACAAGGAAATAGCAGGACAGCATTTACTCTTTAACACTCTGAATATGTGCATTATACTAACAAAATTATCAATTTTATCAAAACTATGATAAGGAAGAAACTACACAACATTGCTACATTTAAAAGATTAATTTTAATTTAGATTTTCTTCTTTGCCTTGTACAATATACTCATCAGAATCATCTGAGGTGACGACATATATTTATCTCCTTGTAATGATCTTTTCCTTCTTCAGAATCTAAGATCCCAACTTTTCTCAGCAACTTTTGTTTTTCTACACTTCTCATGATACATAGCAATTGTTCTCTCAATAATTTCATCCCTCCCTTTTACAATCCAATTTTTCTGACTAGCATAGATAATAAAAACTGACTCCATTCTTTAAGCTTATCGAAATGAATCTGTCTGATACCATAATGTCAGATTTCCCATAACCTTGCAATATTTCCGGTTAAATTCTGTTGACTTTGGCTGTCATTTTCTCTATCTTATTCATGAACAATCACAACAACTTAAAGATATATTACTATACTGTTCAAGATATTTTTAAAAATAATACATTTTCACTTTCCCCAGGAGTATTCAAAATTGTAATGTAACTAAGTTGGCCTTTCATGTATGCAACAAATAGTTTGTATAAAAAGTTGTGTGTGAGTGTGAGTGCATCAAATGAAAAGGAATGAGGTTCTCTAAAAATTACCCAGGTAAAAGGCACAAGCAGCAAAATTGCAAGCACTGTTAAAGTTAATTTCATTGTTTTGCTTATTTATCTCAATAAAATTATAGACAAGTAATATGTTAACATAAATTTCCTTTAAATTCAAATGCTTATCAGAAGATAAATTTAATTTGTTTGTCTGTAAAACAAAATATTCCCAAGTAACACACATACATAAACCTTAATCAAACCTACAGCAACAATGTAAACATAATTTACTGACCTGTTTGCTTTGGAGTATAAATTGGTTTATCAGTTTGGATAAAAACATATCCAGATCTTGGGTTAACCAAAAGCAAAGCCTCTTTATGAAACCCATTTCCTGCCTTTGCCACAAGAGACACATAGTGTTTTGCAGTTGAAACCAGAATATCTTTATCTGGTAAATCTTCTGGGTTTACTTGAACTCTGAATTCTGTACTTATTCCTATATCAAAAGCCATATTTATGAATATGAGATTAATAAAAAATTTAATAAGCCAATTTCTAAAAATTAAGTGTACAAAATATATCACTTTCTGAAAAAAATATTTATTTACTTAAATCATAATATAACATAACTTTAAAATCATTTATTATTAAAAACTTTTCTTTTCAAAATAAAAATGAAATTCCTAAGCATGCAACTAGTATTTTGTATGAGTTTTATTTGTTCTAAAAAATACAGCTTATGTTTAGATATTGAATGAAAATACTTAAAAATACTAACAAAACTTCTCTATAAACAACAAGCTGAGGTACCCATCCAGGTTATGAAGTTAAAAATATGGAGGGTGGATGCTTCGATAAATAACACAAAAATGTTAACTTTCACACAATTTATTTAAAACATATTACAGTATTCACTATTACCTCACCAAAAGTTTTGTATAAGCTTTAAGAAAACTTAATATGTATACACTGTGTAGGGGTACTTTCTGTTACCCGCTTTCAACAACCAGCTGTTAATGTTCTTCCACAGCGTTTCATGTGATTAATTAATTGATGACCATTGGCAACAGAAGAGTATTATGGGCCAAAGTTGAAAGGTCATAGATTCAAAGTAGGAAGTGGGTATAATTCAATAAATGGCTCTTCATATCAGCCTTATTGTGGCTCTTGGAGTAGAAACTTCAGCTGAGTTTATGCATTATTGCAATAGTGGCAGCCATTTTTTAAAATTGCATTCCTCTAAAGAGAGTGTTAGTACACTCTCTGAGATATATAATATGTTTGTGTGCCCTCCACACACATTGTGTGTATGTTGTATTATAGACAATTTAATAAAGTTTTTTTTCCTTTGTGTAAGCACATAATGCCAACTATGAATGTAGTTAGCGTTAACTTACGTCAAAGGTAATAAATGCTGAATAACAGCAATGATGGAGGTGAAGGGGGTTGTGAACCCTCATTAACATGCCCCTTATTCCATACAAAGATTATTTCAGATTGTCCCAGTGACCTAGGAGTAGTTAGATAACAGGCACACAGACTTTTGTGCTTTATATATATATATATTGGCTGAGCCATAAAAATAACAAATCTTACTAACCAAAACAAGTTCAAACTTGCAAACAGATATCTTAAATCACATTTACTATAACAGCAGTGTAGCATTTCATAGGCTTATTTTTACAAATGTTCCTTCCAAGCTAATGCAAATGTGGATCCATTTTAAGTTTGCAGCTACAAAAGTATGCACAAGACTTAACTACAGAGAGTTCCATGTTAGTACAATCTAAATGAAAAACTGGCTTGTTTTTAAGAAATGCATGTGTTGTATTGTAACATACAGGGTTTTCCTCAATTTCTAAATTGTCAGTAAACTACAATACCACTAAAAAGCTCAAGAAATTTATTAAGATATGTAAGACAAGCAAATAATGAAAATGAATGAAGAAAAATTAGTTAGCTTTCAAAAATGCTTAAATTAGATTAATTAAAAAAAGGTATGTTACATCAGTATAATATTAATTTACTTTAAATACATATATTTTTAAATTAATTTGCTCAAATATAATTTATGGTATTATAAAAATGTTAGTACACAGTATGCAGCTGGGTAACTTGGGGCATTTTTGAGAACAACAATTACTTGGTATCAAGCTACACAAGACAACAATCTTCTTGTTATTGCTACATACTACCTCTTATACTATATAGTGTAGTAAAGCCTTCAGGTCTGTGTTTGATAAAATATCATGTTATTGTTAACCTAATAATTCTGAAACTATAAATGTCATAATATCATTACCAAACTATTATCATGGGATAAACAAAAATTGAAAGAAACAGTCTAATAGAAAAATATATATATAGTTTAAGATTACTGGAATATATTTTTTTTTCAAGTTGATATTCTTTATCTATGATGTGATGTATCTTTTTATATTTACATGTGAATATGATGCACAATACCTAAAATTTTACAAAATATACAGCTTTTATTTAGTTTTAAGTATTGTGTGAGATAGTGAATTCTACTTTTATTTAGTTATGGTTTTCTTTACTGTTTATTTATTACTCATTCTAGTGTTTAGTTCAACTGTGAATTTTAGTTACATTAAAGTGCTAACTCACGTTCTAGCTAGAATACATTGAAGTTGAGTATGTCTGTATTATGAAATGGATACAAGCTTCCCTTAACAGTGATGTACAGAGATATTAACACTGTGAAAGGTTATGTAAATTACCTACTCACATGGTATGTATTCTCATGGTCTAACCTCTAAATAAAAACCCTTCCTAGATCTTAAACACGTTAGTTCATGAGATATACTTATGACAAATTATTGCTGATTGTTGCTTGATATTGTTATTGATCTTGAAAAGTGATTTAATTTTGAAATATTATGTTTTTTCAGAATTAGTTATTATTTTTCTTGTGGTTCTTTTTTCCTAATTCCTTTATTTATTATATATAAAAAAAGACAGACCACAACTGTTGCAGTGGGTTATTGATTATTGAGTTAAAGATTTGTTAATCAGTTTTAAGTTAAATTTTGTGGCTGTTAAGGTTATTTTTTTGACAAAGAAATACAGATAGAAGTGCTGTAGATATGAAAAAATTAGCAAATAACTGTTTAGAGCTTATTTGTGAAGTTAGGCCTATCATGATAGACTATGCAAGTGTATAACATGTTGTTGAAGAAATAATACTTTCTCTGTCATTAAATGTACTAAATTTTGTATTATCCAAATAATCAAAAAGAACCTGTTCAACAACAGAAACAGCTACAATACTTATGTCAAGAGCTGGATTATTTTGATAAAAATAAAACCTAAATTGAAACTTCAGATCATGACAATTTTGAAAGTATAGTCAAAAATATACAAGAAGAAACAGATAATTAAGAGATCAGAAAGAAAGTTACAGAAAATTTGAAGAAATACAGTAAGTTAAAAGATTAATTACAAAAATGAGACATAAGGCTTACAGAAAAATTGTGAACCCAGCTAGGTCAGCTTGATGGAAGCCATGATGAAGAATATATACACTTGAGTTGTAAAAGCCATATCTATGTACCGAATAATAATATAAAACAAACTAGAAAAACTTCAAAAGAACATCAGTGAAGTGGAAAAGAATTATAACAAATCTGAAGTACAGAAGGATTGAAACAAGATCAACAAAGTACAAGATAACATCAATGTCAGAATAAAACATTTAGAAAATGAATTTGTTAATGTAAGTATCAGCCATCCATACCTCTCTCTCAAGCCACTCAAAATTTCTGACCTCAAACATCACTAACTATGCAATATAGAATAGGAGAATCTATGTGGTCTACACCTGTTATCACTACTGTTGTGCAATCTATGACTACAGGGTCTTCCTGGACTACTTCATCTACACCATTACATCATCAACTTACAGAGTATAGCATGCCAGTTCAACAAAGTAACCAACATATTATAATAAAACTTACCATGGGAGGCATATAATATTATGTTTGAAATAATTTCCAAGGTGAAAGTGATTAAGAAAAAGTTATTCATCTCACTGCAAGTTTAAACAGACCAGCTCGAACAATATTAAGCAACCTTTGAACTCAGAAGGACAATAATGGCTGCCTTATCAAATAAATTTGGAATGTTACATCAAAAGGACATTTTTACATCACAGTTTAGGAGTAGAATAAAGAGGAATGACAAGATGTTAGCTGAACATGCTGAAGATATAGAAAAGCTTACTCAATTGTCTTACCTGTAAGCTTCACATTAAACGATGAATTCACTGGCCCGTGACCAATGCATAGATTTTATAGTGGTTGAAGATACAAAAATTAGCTAAAACAAAGGGAGATGCACATCTTTAAAGGAAGCTGTCCAATAAATTTTGGAACTTGAATCAATGAAAGTCACAAATAACCTACTAAAAGCACCATTCAGGAATTATTGGATAGTCACATCAACAAGTATTGAAACATCAACTCCCTCTAATGGAAGTCTAGAATAAATCAAACAATTACTTGCTCAAAATAGAAGAAGTAAACCAAAAAACAGTGTGTTTTTAACTGCTACTTAAGATGACATATTGCCATGAACTGGGGAAAGAAAAACTGCTCTCAAAGGATGTCATAAAAAGGGAGTTTCTGTAAGTGTAAAAAACATGAGCAATAGACAATAATAAACTAAGGAGACAATACCTTGAAGATGAACCCCACAACTCAACAAGAATAAATGGGCAACAAAAAGTTAGACATCAGAAAACAGGGATTGGCTGGACTTAAGGGGCAATGTTCAGCTGACAATACTCCAGGTGTCCCAGTCAAGATAAGTAGTTCACTATTTCAAGAAACTAGATCTCAAGTCAATGGATACTCTGATGGAAAGCCTTACAATATGTTGATTGACATTGGGATTATAGTTATGATTGTTTAATCCAATACGGCAATAAAAAAGTGGAAAATTGCCTGCAAACAGTTAAAGGTCATAAAGTTTCAGCAAGAGGAAAGTTGGAATTTAACTTAATAATGGGAAGCTTCCCTACATAGCATGTTGTGTGGGTAACTGACATCAAAGAAAACTGTGTAGTTGGAATAGACTTTGTGAAGAAACATGAATGTGAGGTTAGACTTGCTTCAAACAGTTTCACAGTTGTGACCAGGAAATTCTTGTGTACTACTTGACAAAGCCAGAGATTGAACTCCTAGTGACAACAACAATAGCAGTTACTATACCATCAAGAAGTTAAATATTCATACTAGGACTTATTGAGAACAACTTTAGGTCAAATATTCCAGCTTGTCCGGAAGAATTATTTGATGGAAAACTTTTACAAACCTGAAGAATATGTATATCATCATTAGGCCCATGAAAATAATAAACCATGAAATCTAATTGAATTCTGAGTGGAACACTGCAAGATGTGAAGCTGTAGATATAGTATGTAGGAAGCCTGATGTCAAATCTTCATGTAAAGGGAGCTTACCTCCTCACTTACAGGGGCTGTGGTCAATTCTATAGATGAAATAGCTTGCTTATAGAACACCAAAATACATTCTCCAGTAGACCTCATCACTTAGGCTGGACAAATGAAAAACTGGAGATACAATAATCTAAGCTGACTTTCAGCTGCAAAACAGTCTGAGGCTCTTAAAGAAATAGATTTCATGAAAGAATGAGGCATAAGTAAAACCAAGTGCTCATCCTATTTGTACTTGTAAGGAAGAAAGATGAATCAAAAAGGTTTTATGTGAACTAATGGAAGATAAAAAAAATAAAAAAACGGATATCTACCCTCTGCCAGGCATTTACTCTACCTCAGATGCTTTATATGGATCTAAATGGTTTTCAACATTGGATATAAAAAGAGTAGACAGTAGCAAGTATGATCAGCCCAATTTCCAAAGATCTATCAAATTGCTGGAATCAAATGACCAGAACAACACAGCCGTTCATCCTTCTTCTGATCAATTAGCCATTTATGTGGATATACATCAGAATGAGGGATCAAGATTCTACACTCCTAATCATGAATTATCAAATAATGACACATGCATCCTACCAGCATCACTGATGTTTGGAGAGAACTTTATTATATATCTTGGTATAATTATGAGCTTTTTCACATATTTTTTGTAGTTACATTCATGCTCATCTTCCATTTATTTCATCAATTCCACAAAGAGAAATACACAAGTGCCTAATACCATATAAAATAGCTTTTATATATCAAGTACTTAAGATGAAAGTTCACAGATAAAACTTTTATTACATACAAAAGTTAGTACTATAAATTTGATGTTCATACTCAAATGATGATTTTATATTAAACATACTTGGCTGAACCCGACCAACTGTTCTGGAAAAGGTCTTAGTTTTTCCAGGATGATCCTGAAGGTACACTTCAACATCCTCTGCTCTATTTCCTTCCACAATAATGGAAACAGTTTCTTGCTCACCTATTCGCAATGTGTTTGGTGAAGCAACAAAAATGTTTCTGCAAAAGTAAGAAATATATATATTTTAATTTAAGCTTAGCAGAATTTGAATTTTTTTACTGACATAGTGTAAAGTGGACACAATGCCACTCCATTCACTCTTATACAATCAGACTAGTTTTACATCAAATTAATTTCCCATACACCTTTATTAATAAAAGTAGAATGAAAACACATATTATAATAATCATACTTGTGAATCTGTAAAACTCTGTAGTCTTCTAGATTAACTTTCTGAGAAGAACTACTACGTACAATAATATCAAATGTAATCACTTTCAAACTTATGATTTATATTAACCTTATAGTTGAATGTGTATATGCTATGGCAACAATACTGGCACTAAGGATTGTTCATCCTTAAATGTTTATTAATGAGGAACCAAAACCAGAAAAATATTTGAGCAAGAAAGTCTAGCTGTAGTATTTCAAGTTTCAAAATAGATACAGCACAGTAACCACAAATGTTACGATTTTCCTACACTGAAAATGTGTTTCTTACAGATACTTCTGCTCACATATATAACTATTCTTGTTCAGTGCTGCCCTCTATTTGTTAAACTTTTTTTGCATGTCACAAGCCTTTCACTCCCACACACGCCTCAATTCACATGGGTTAACTGATTCTCACATGCAAATTATCATGCAACAATCCCCCACCAATAGTAGAGCCACACACCCACATGACTCTCTTTGTTATTCTACCTATTACTTCGAGTTTAGGCATAAATGTAAGCACCAATTGACAGTGGGAAGAAAGGGTGGGAAGTGTGAGCAGAAGTACCTGTCGGAAATATATTTTCAATGTAGAATAATTATAAGGACATTGAATTGTTGGAGAAGGTTCAGAGAAGAGCCACTAGAATGATACCTGAGATGGTGGGATTGTCCTATGAGATGAGACTAAAACCTCTAAGCTTATTGTCTCTGGAGAGGAGAAGGGTCAGAGACGATTTGATTGAGGTATTTGTGATTATTAAGAGTATCAATAATATAGATCCATCAAACTTTTTTTTTATCTTTAGCAGTGAAAACAATAGGACAAGGGGTCATAGATTCAAATTTTGGCAGCGTAGGCGTCGTCTTTAGTTTAGCCATTATTACTTTTTAAACAGGGTGGTTAGCTTTTGGTATGAGCTGCCTTCAAGAGTATTGGAGGCAAAAAAATTATTTGAGTTCAAGAGAAGTTTGGATGAATACACGAGTAGTAAGGGGTGGTTACAGTTGGGAGCTGGAAGGGACAGCCTTAATGGTCTAATATGCTCCTTTTCGTCTCGTTAAAATTTTATGAATATGAGGGTTTTTCCCCTAGTGTGGTTAAAAAGACAATGAGCAAAGGTTAGAAATAGCAGAGCCCCAACCAATAATTGTTTTAAGATGTTGTAATTAAGGCCCTTAAAAGAGATACATTTTGGACTACATTTGAAGATATGTCTTCCTCTGTTTTCTTTAAAACTGAAACATTTATGTTCATTAAATTTTAAACTACTCAAGCAAGTTAATTTTACAAAATATCTTCTTGCTAGAAGTAACTTAATATATTATTAAAATGTTTCGTATATATTTTATAATAATATATTGTTGCGACAGCGGAGGTCACGTGACTAGTATCACGCCACGTCCTTCTCGAACGTTCACGTCCCTTCCTTAATTGTCGAGAACCTACTAGATAAGTCGTAGTCTTGTATATATAAACCGGTAAGAACTGAACGTGAGGTAATGAGTAAGAATATTGTTGAGCACGTGAGAAGGTCGTTGTGAATTATAGCGTTTGTTATAGAGCGACTGTTAAAATTAAGTGTATCGCAAAGTTGTATTCAGAAAGAATAAACAGTTTTATTTAAGAAAGGACTTGTGTCGCTAAAGTTTCGTCGGAACGAAATTTACGGAAAATTAACTAACTAACTAGCATACAGTAACTGAAACTGAAAAACCGTATTTCACTTTCAGGGTCTTAGTTTATAAATTATAGCGAACTTTCTTTCTTTAATGTTACTCAAGTTTCAATTTCAAAGGTTGTTTTAACATCTGACAAAACTATTATATTGCTCAGAATCAAAATCATTAGTTTCAGACTGTAAAGGATGGAAACATTATTTATTAATTACAGGACTTACCAGAACTAGTAGAAACGCCGCCCTACGAGCGGCCGTTTGTCTAATAGTAGTATTTATACTTCATTGAAAAAAAATTTAGAAATAAGTTTTTAAGAACTCCAGTTTCTCAGTAATGCATTTAAAAATTACATCATTATAGATATAATCAAACCCTAGATACAGTCCTAGTGAAAGTCGTGTTCTTGTTGTGAAAATATTAGTTTTATTTAAAATTGTGTTCTGTTATGAATAAGCAGTTGTCACACATACCATAGTTATTTTTCTAATTGTCTGAATCTTGAATACACAAAGTGTGAATTTTTTATGGGTTTTGTTTGTGCTGCCAATCAATAGATAGCGCCACATCTCATAAGCCTCAATCACCACTACGGGTATTGAGATCTGGTTGTATTTTAGCACAACAGATGGCACCATCGTATTTATTATTTCGGTTACATAGATAGATATATAGACGGCCACGCCATTGCTCTATTATAGTAAGATGCAGAGATAACACACTATTTTTTAAAGCAATCGTAGACTTATTGCTTTAATTAAAAAAAAATAGGAGGTATAACACACATGATCAGCGGCTGAAAGCTTACCAGCATAAGACAATACCATGCATCATGACTCCGTCAGAGTTGTAAGATCTGTCTGAACGTGCCAACTCTGCTCTCACAATATAAACTCTCTGTAGCTGAACAAATACACAATTAGGTTATTAAAATACAGATGTATCTCTACTTTGTGTGATAGTCATAAAATAACTTCACGCTCAAAGTGGTGTTGGATACAATACATCTATTTCACAAAAATGGAATATACCACCTTTGAGTAATTGATGCCATACCGACCAATATTTATGACCTAGTCCGAATTTTAGCATGTTCCAAAGTAAAACTTTTGTTCATTATACACTATAGGAAAGTGTGATGAGTGATATCTGTATACCATAAAGTTTCAGATATAATTTCTTTTCTTTCTCGTTGTCTAGCCCAGCTGACAGGTTCTGGTATTGAATGAAAACCTCTTAGACAACGACTTGTGAGAGGCAAAAGATAGATATCAAATCATATTTTACACAACTCTAAATTAAAATCAACAACGGATGAATTACGAGGAATCTAAAAAAGACACTGCAATCTATGTTGTTGTTGTTGTTTTTTTAACCTTCCGTACTGAAACTGTAACTTGAAAACGTTCCCCAGTTTGAACAGAATATGCATATAGTTTTGTATCTTTCCATAGTCTTTGTCTGTGCATAAATGTATTTCACAAAAAGTATTGTTGTCTTCTTAGTGCATAATTACACAATGGGCTGTTGCACTCTGTCAACGAGAAGATTGAAACCCCGGATTTTAGTTATGTAAGTCTGTAAACTTACCGCTGACCAACAGGCTAGAATTTCTTTCTAATCACAAAATACTATGATTGCATATTTATGTAACATATCTTTGAACACATGTTCATCATCAGTAGTTTTCTTAATTTTATAACCTGAACAGTGGCGTAACTACAAAAGATGCCCCCCCCCCCGCATAAAAAGTAATTGGAGCCCTTTATATTTACTCCCTATAATTGGATTTTCCTCCCCTTGTCCGTAGTTATTATGTCTGTGAGGCCCTTCGACCCGCTCCTCCTGCAATCAATTGCGGGGCCATACTTACACCAATGAACGTGTATATTACATAAAAAGTATCTTAATAACGTTAGTTATACTTCGTAAGTTTGACGACCTAAAAAAATTATTACACTCAGTCAGCATTATGAAACTGAAAAACTAGTTATCTACATTTACTTATGGTTGACTGTCACTGAAATTCCAAAATTCTGGAAAAACTGAACGGGTGAAGTTTTGTCTTAGAAGTAAAGACTGTTAAGTGTCACATACTTTGACACACATCTAAGAATGGAACAACCGAGTTTTGTTATTCTTTGTGAAATTTTGAGCAACGCTACTCTGTGCTAGCCGTTCCTAATTTTGAAGTGATGAACTAAAGGGAAGGTAGCTGGTCAACACCAACTACTGCCAACTCTCAAGCAACGAATAGTGGGTTTGACCATCGCATTAGAACACTCCCAGGTATGAAATGGTGGGTATGTTCAGCGACAGGCTTCGATCTCGTGACCTGCAGATTACGAGTTGAGCGCCCTAATCACCAGGCCATTTCTTGCCAAGGGTTAGATTGTATATCTATATAAATATAATAGTACTGTCTATTGTATGTCCATGTAACTACGTCGCAGAGTGTGGATGGATCTTCATCAAAATTGGTATGGAGGTTCACGCGGGGGTACATACAAATCTTCAGTTTTGCAATTTGCGTTGGGCGGTGTCTACCACTACTTCGCCCCCTGTAGATGGATCTTCACCAAATTTGGTATGGAGATTCATTGGGTCCACGGGGAGATACATACAAATGTTTAGTTTTATGTTTTGCGGTTTTTATGGTCTTTTTTTTTACCACTACTTTCCCTCTCTTTTGATGGATGTTCTCCAAATTTGGTATGAAGGTTCATTGGATCCGTGCGGAGATACATACAAACTTGCGGTTTGACAATTTGTGTTTTGCATTTTTTATGGGGTTTTTGCGTTTATTTTCAATTACATATATAAGGGAAGCAACTTTTCATGTTCTAAGATAACCTTTCATTAATCATGAATTTACATAACTTTCGTCTAGTAGATGGGTACTCCAGTTAGGTTTTAATAGTTTACTTTCCACCTTCAGCGTATTCCCAAAACTTGTTTCACAAATGTATTTGTGATATAAAAATTGTATTTACGTCATATTCACGAAACAAGGAAAATGTGATTATTTCGTTCCAATTTTGAAACTGTGGGAGAAAAGTCTCACTACGCACAAGAGCGGTAGACGGAGATTAAATGCAGAAGTCGA